TTTCCTGACCTACACAACTTTGAAGTGTTGGCAATTTCAGATATACATATAGTAGTCTCCTTTGAAGTAGATGAGAAGGTGCTTACACAATTAGCATTGGCATAAGTAGCGTTTGAAAAGTAAATTGCAGTCATAAAAGTCCAATGAAGATTAGGAGTCCAGAGAACAGGACAGGGAAGGTTGACCCTTGCAACAGTCCTTATCAAAAATATGAGTTTTTCATTATATTTATTGGAATAAAATTTCTTATTCCCAGCTAAATAGCATTGAAAAGTAAAGGGGTGATTAAATAGATTATTTAAATATGAAATCTTATGTAAACTAGGATTCCAATCAAGATCAAGCCCACCACATTTCCTATTTACTTATATGAACCATTAATACAATTGTTAGTTATGTGAATATCATCTTGGCATTGATTAAATGATGAACTAAATGATACCCATGCATGCAACAATACTAAAGAAAGGGAAACCACTAACCTGAAACATATATTCCTTGAATAATCATCTATTCCATTTTACTGACTTCCCCTTCTTCCCTATCTCAGATGGATCTTGTTCTTAAGAAGAAGGAACATGTATCATGTTTGAGGGAAGAATAGACCTTAAAAATATCTCTTGAGAAGAGTCATCTCATGAGCTTTGTACCATTAAACAGGATGCAAGATCAATATAAATCTATTTGACATCTGTTCTGCAAGTAGATCACCCTGTATCCTATCTCCTAGATACAGAGAATAGAGCCCTTAAGTCCAAAACAGCCTTTAAGACTCAGACCCTCCACGTGATTGTGTTGCCAGTTGTTCTATGAATGTAATTGTCTGTGAACCAGTGTTGAGCCTATATTGTTCTTTGCTCTCATTCCCCTCAATTTCTTGACTTTCTTTCTCCCTATAAGCTGCTTTTTGGCTTCTGAGCTTTCACTAATAGATCTTGATTTGCATTATGGATCATAGGAGAGTGTTCATGTAAGACAGGCTAAAAGCATCATTTTGTGACTCGGTTTTCAGAATCGTACAGGATTTGTTTCTATTCAAGCTCAGAATCAAAGTGGAAAAACACCCCGATTGTTGGAAGAATTTTAGTTATAAATCATGGGTATCCAACCTTTTGGCTTGCGTGAGCTGCATTGAGTGAAGAGAAATTGTCTTGGGCTGCATATAAAATATATAGTCAATGTATATAAATCACGTAATAATGTTAAAAGTTTAGGATCTTGTGGGGTTGCATTATTAGCTGTCCAGGGCCGCATATAGCATGTGGTCCGTGGGTTGGACATGCCTGTTATAAATAATGACCAGTTTTCTCTTGTTCTCTGTTCCTACATTTGCACAGCTAGAACCAGAGAGTTACAGTACATATTTATTTAGAACATTATGCCACAACTGTGCAAATGTATTTCAAGTTAACTTGGAAATTGTAATCCCGAGAATAATTATTTATTTCAAGCTGCAAAGTTACCAGCAGCTTCTAAGGGTTGTTGTTGTTTTTTAATAAGGAGGGAAGATCAACTCACTCTGCTTTGATGTTTATGTGCGTGCAAGAGCTGTTTGGTGGAATGCCAGAAAGGGAGAGAGAGGGTAGGAAAATGGATTTCTCTTCAGGATACTGCACAGTGCCTTTTCAGAATTGCTGAATTAGCACTTAGCAGTATTTATGTTTCAAATGCAAGAGCTTGCATCTTGCTGACAGATGTTTAATGCTCAGTAATCACAAAGCAAAGCTAGATGAAATGCCAGATGGGTCAAAATCAGCATTCGTTAATAGAAATCAATACAAAATTTAACAATCATGTCTTTGGGGGGTGTGTGTGTGTGTGTGTGTGTGTATAAATTTCCAACTAACTATGATGAAAAATCAGCAGAACATTTGGAGAAGCACAGTTGGAGCTGTGTTTCTTGTTTCAGAGCTTTTTTCTTTGAATTATTCAGTCATTTTCAAACATTCTTTGGTCAAATCAAATCAAATTGCTAAATTCTGCAAGGGATTGTGTTGTTACTCACATTCTCCAAAACTAAAAGGAAAGCTCGTTGGGGAGAGGCAAAACAACAAATTCTTGTATTTATTGATACAAATAATTTGTGTTGCTCAATCACGCTAACCTTTTATGTTCTCTCTTATTCTAAAGCTAAAACTTGTACATTTATCCTCAGATCTACTCTGTGCAAGGCGTTGGCTTCTCATTCTTGCTTACACCAGGAGAGAAGGCTGAAGTCAGTTCCAGGGTATTTGGATATTTCCCCAGCTGTGTTGCCTGGTTCTTGAAATTAATCATTTTGAGAAAAACGAATGACAAAACCTCTGTGGGTTTTTTCCCCTTTATAAATTCTCAGCAGTCCTTTGGAGTTCTTGAAAAAGATTCTAGGTTTCCATTTTGGATAAAAGCATTTTTTTTTTTTTTTTTTTGTCAATCTGAAGCAGAAGATGAGGAGAACAATGAGGATAACAACATTCCTGGGAGAAAAACTGGAGATAGTGACATTGTGTGTTCCTGAGCAAGGAATTCACCCAGTGCCTCAGGAGAAGCAGATTCCTTAGACTCACCTTTTCTCTGAGAGTTCTCCACAGATCATGAAGCTACAATTTACAGGATAATTAAGAATGATGGGTAATAATATAGTAATCTTCCCAAGCAATCATCTAGATACGAAGAAAGAAGATATTTTTCTGCAGGCTTTGGCTTCAGTAAAATTTACATTGTGAAATGTAATGTCCAGTTATCATGTATAAAATTGTGTCCTTTGACTTCTTGGTAAGTTTTTAAAGTGTTAGCGTGATATTGTGAAACACTGCATTTTGATTAGGTCAAGAATGTTAGCTTTTGGGTTCCAGAGGCCATACTTATTAAATCATTGTTTGGGAAGAATTAAGGCCTTAATGAGTCACATAGTGATGCAAATTCAGCAAGCCAAGGTACCTGTGGTGGAACCACTGGCTGAAGGAGAGGGGGCCCCATCAGCGGTAGTAAAGAGTCTTTTCAGCTTAATCTGTTCAGGGAAAAAGCATCTGAGATCAAACCCATAGTTCTATCTCTGCCATTTACCAATGAAAGGCAGGCAGTCTGGTGAGATTCTTGTAATAAAGAAGATCAACAACAAAATATCTACTTGGGCCTAACCATGAACGGTTCTGGTTGCTTGCACCTGACAATATTCTATGTCTGATTCCCATCACCCCTTCATTTCATTAAACCTACTTTAGGATTCAAACACAGATTGCCTTTGTAATTCGTGCCCTACAGTGGTGGAAACCATTTTGGTTTGTGGGGGCCACAAAGAAGAGCTTTTGGTTTTAAGTTGACCATCGTGGCTTAGGAAAAGAGCTGTGGTGGTGCAGTGGTTGGAATGCAGTATTGCAGGCTAACTCTGCATTCCACTGCCAGGAGTTCGATCCTGATCAGTTCAAGGTTGACTCAGCCTTCCATCCTTCCGAGGTTGGTAAAATGAGGACCCAGATTGTTGGGGGCATTATGCTGACTCTGTAAACCACTTAGAGAGTGCTGTAAAGCACTGTGAAGCGGTATATAAGTCTACATGCAATTGTAAAATTAAATTTAATGACTTAATTATGAATGACTTTCTCTTCACTGGTCCCTAAATCATGTTAAAATGCTGAACAAATCAACAGTTAAAACTATAAGTCACTACTGTGTCATAGTTTATGGGCTATGTCAGTGGTAGGCAAACTTGGCTCTTTCACACCCTGTGGACTTCAACTTCCAACTCCCAACTTCAACTCTGGGAGTTGAAGTCCACAGGGTGTGAAAGAGCCAAGTTTGCCTACTACTGGGCTATGTGAAGGAGAATACTCTATTTCCTCTGTTTGCCTGCCATGCCATTGCCATTATTCTCTGGAATATGAGACAGTCTCTTTTTTGTACGCCACTCTTCTAAGAAGCTTTCTCTTCCACACAACATGGGGAAAGATTGTTTGGGCTATAATGTAGGAGAGACATGTTTGTCCCCATGGGTGGGAGCAAATGATTACACATATATCACGATATCATCTCCCATATGCTCCAACTTTTGAATTTGTATCAGATCTCATGACACAGATACAGTATATAATCACATCACATCATTATGTTGACATTATCACTGTTATGGTACTTACTGATACAAAATCAATAGAGAAAACTTAACTAGATATAAGTAAATCTATCAGTTTCATTTTTTCTTGGTTACTTCTTATTAATCTGTCAATTTAAGCTTGTCTCGATTCCTTGTTTTTACAAATATATGAATTTTTGTTGAATTTGAGATTTTTCTAAGGCTACACAAAAATGTTTGACTCCAAAATATATACTCTTTTCCTCTAATTTTTTTTTAAAAAAATTATTGACTTTATTGTATATATTTTTCTTTTAAAAGAAACTCTTTGCGTTCTTTTGTCTGCTGGGCAGTTTAAACATTTAAATAAATAAATAAGTAGAAGTGAGAATGCTATATGGAGACTCATGAGATATTAAACAATATTTGGTAAGGCCTACCTATGACCTCTTGTGGATGGAAGAACTGAAAGTTAAGCAAATGTGCATTTAGTCTGCTAGGAAATGAAGTTGGGGCTGTAACTTTATGAGACCAGGGATGCAACATGCCAGCTAAGCAACTCACTAGACTTCATAATTTTCTGCAAAAAAAATTAAACTAATGAATTAGGCTCAAGAATGAAAGCATTACATTTTTCTACTTTAAAAACAAACTACTATTAATAGTTCTGCATATGAAATCTTATGCAAGAACTCTACTGATCGGTATCAGTTTGAAGAGAAATGGCCATCTTATGTGGAAACATGTAAAATTAAAAATAAGCTAGACATTCTATCTAGTCATAAAATATTAATAATAAAATACTAAGTAATTTCTAAGCAGTCAAAGAAATACTAATATAATCTAGGTTTTAAAAAAATTAAGGGAAAGCATTTTTCTTTTGATTCTCCCATCTGATTCTTTTTCATGGAATATTTTCCCTCTGCAAATAAGCAGAACAGGCCAAATATAAAGCTTAAAGCTTTTTAAAAAATCATTTATTTAAACAATCCCAGGTTTGAAAGAAAACTCAAAAATTAACTAAGTGCAAACTTCACCAAAGCAAAAAGTATTGTAACAAGAACTCTGACGGAAAGGCAGCCATCCTCTGCTGAAAAATCTCTTAGTTTTCATTTCCACTTCCATCAGGAAGATCTTCCTAATATTTGCCCTACTGATTTGCATCTTGCTCTGCAGAATAATGATTCTTCTATCAGCTATCTCCCAGGCTTCCATAACTTGAAGTAATTATCCTATCACCTCTTGATGATATGTTCTCTAGGATAAGCATATACATCTTTTTCAGATGTTCCCCCTAAGCTTTGATCTCTAAGTCTTCATCATTGTTGCTGCCTTCTTGTAGGCATGGTCTTCATCAAACTTGACATATCCTTGAATATTCTGAATCTGTAAACCATATCACCTCAGTTTAAACTAAGTAATACCATACTTCCTCATCCCTCAAATCTCAGTGCTCTTACAATAGGCATATTTACTCAGATCTTGCATTTTGATGGTTCATATCAATAGGGCTTTAGAAAGAACATTGTGGGGGACTGCACCCCATATCTTTTAGGTGTCAATAGGTTGCCTTCCCTGAGCCTTAAGATAGTATACACTATAAAATCTATATAAATGAACAAAATGCCATATGCTAAACTTCAGCCTGCTAGGCGCTCAATTCATCCTTAGATTAATTATGTGCTTCCTTATTGCATGACTCAGGGTTTTCTTGCTTCAAGTTGCACATTTTTGTTCCTTCTGGTGCACATTCATTCCTTTTCCCTTGAATTTCTCCAACGGAAGCCTTGTTTTCCTCCCCATTTGCAAGGCAGGCTGTGTTAATCTTTTCTGTCCCAAGAGCCACCTGCTTCTTCAGGCTTCCAATATGGATTTCTCCTGTTTGACTCATTATTGACAATTCCTGGCCTCTGGTGCCTATTCCCATCACATCTGGCAGCTTGTTAAAATTGTCAGCAGAATTCTGCTCAGGGTGCCTTTCAGAACATGTGTTTTTATCTAAGAAATTTTCATGGATTTCTTGAATTGCGTTCCTAGAAGCCTTCACTCTGGAAATTTCCTGACAGCTATTCTTATAGTTAGTCTTAGGAGACAAATCAGGGCCGGATATTGCCTTATTGAGTTTGAGATTTACTTCAGTCTCATCTCTACTGACATCCTGGGTAAGGCCCCTTCCGGTTTTTTCATTTGGGCTTTGGGCTTCCCTTGAAGTTGGGTCCATTTCGCTTCTTTTGGTCTGTGGCATAGGAACATTCGATTCTTTTAGCTTTATACAATTCTCTAGACTGGGTAGACAATGGTGCTCTTTCTCTACTTCACCAACCAGAGTTAGATTCTTTTGTTCTTCCATGTTAATTGATTGCTAAAATCATAGGAGAAAAAATAAATAACTTGAATTAAGTCTTATTGTGTTATTCGTTTAAAGTAAGCCACTCAAAACTATTGGTGTCAGCTGTAATGATCTACCAGAAGTGAAGTTCGCCATTATTACTGATGTAAAAAACTCAAGTAGAGCACCCAAATTTCCTTATATCAAAGTGCAAGTGATAATCATTATCATATTGAATCGCCTTATTCTCCAACACAGTGTAATAATTTATTTGGGAATTTTATTTTTAAAATTTATTTAGAAATAAAAATAAATATAGCTGCCCATCTTAAGCATATAACTGGATGGTGAACAGTACATATGGAAAAGAGCAGTGATCATACATTCATAGCAACTTACCTCAAAATGCATATGCAGAATTAACTAATATGGTTTAATCATATCTTCACATCAGTTGCAATTACTGGCACTATTCCATAGCACTATGGCAGAGTAGACACTGGTGTCCCATGACTTCACCAGTTACAACAGATGTGGTCAAGTTATTTAGAAAGAATGATAATATTATTTGTTTTACATCAGGTACCTGCCACTTTTTCTGATCCACTAGAGCAGGTAGCTGTGGCAGCAAATTTCCCTAATTTGTCATCACCTCCTCAGTGGTAAAGTTGGCAATAATGTCCCATGCTTTAATGTCTTAATTGCTGTATTGTACACTATATGGAGCTATCCTTGAGGGGAGTCCAGAAATTTTAATTTTTTCCAAAAGACAACTAACTGCTAACTAATATATGAATTCAGAACCATGTTACACACACTTATCTACCCTGCTTTCCAGGCCCTATTTTAGAAGTTGTTATTATTCTTAAAACAATCAACAGTTTAAAACCTAACTGCCTAAACGATTGCCTTGACACATTAAAGTCCAGATGTTAAGGTTAGCAGGAATCTTAAAGATGTCTTGGTTTTTGAGACCTGTTTTTCAGATTTAGAGAGAGAAATCTTCTACTGTATTGCTTTCAAACTGTGAAATTCCCTAGGGACTTTTCACTTTTACTGGGGCTTTTTAGATTGATATAATATTTATGACTTTATCCATTTTTAATAATTTGTAATATGTGCTTTATATATTTTTACTAATATTTTATTATCTGCCTTGTAGCTTAAAAAAGGTGGATGTAATTAATTATAATAGCAGCAGCAAAAATAGCCATCCTGCAATTCCTTTTTTAAATTGTAATTTTATTAAAAATTTCACTTATGAAAAAACAAATACAAACTAAAAAAAAGAATAAAAAGAAAAAGTATGAAGTGCAAAAAGAAAAGGAAAATAGAAAAGAATATAGTAAAGAAAAAGAAAAAAATATACAAAGAAATTACTTCCTTCTTCATCACAACCAGCATAGATATTGCTTCCAAGAAAGAAATGGAGAAATGTAGATGGCTCCACTAAAGGTGAACCCGATGACTGTGGCAGAATGAAGAGCTGTGAGTAGAAGAGCTTCTCTCTGGACAAGGGGAGGACTTGAGATCACCCACAAGACTCCAAACAGGAGCTTCTTGTGAGGAGACCACAAGACAGCAGTCTCCAGCAGGTTTAAAGCTTTGAGAGACAAGGGAATAGATACTGGGTAACTTGTTAACTCTTTTCATCTATTAGAAACTTTTGGATCAACAAATCGGAAAACACTAGGTGAGTTTCATTCAATCCTTAATGAAGGTTTTCTTTTTAAAATCATGATAGGATGGGACTTTGATGATTGGATACTGGAAGGAGCTAAAAAAAACCCTAGACATTTAAAGGAGATGAACACCTGGAAGATATTTTTGAACAATGGACCCAGAAGTTAATTTTACGAGTGGTCTGCCGCTAAAGAGACTGTCTAAAAGATGTTATAGAAGAGGAACAAGTTTTACCAGACAAGTCTTTGATTGATCTATTTCCATACTAGTCCTGACATTTCCCAGTGTTCTGTTTTCACTCATTCATTTCATTATTTATTCATTCCGTTTATATGCCAACTTTATGCTAAAAACCCCATGTTGTATTGTACCACCTATGCAATATATTTCCACAAAAACATTGAGATAAAGAAACAATGTGATTATGTCAATGAGATATATGAACCCAGACACGAAACCAATATTTATGGGTTAGCATTATATGTGAACAAGCTATTATGGGCTGTTCAAACAAAAAAGAGAGAAAAGGATGAATGCTGATATTTTCACAAATTATGCATTTGCTAATATATCTCCATGTATGTTTGGACATATTTTTATAATTTAAATTGAAATGTAATGCATTGTACTTTAGTGACTAAGATCAGGACCAAGTACTCTTATGATTGCTTATTTTATTGACAAAAACATCATAGCCCCAGCAACTCAGGGCTCAGGGGAGGGGCGGGGGGGTGGCGGTTATTATTAACGAGGATCTGGGTCCGAGGGAGACCACTGTGCCTCAGATAGCCGGATGTGAGTCCCTCCTTGTGAGGTGGGGCCGTGGGGTTCAGATGGGCTTGTTGCTTACGTACCTGGCTCCCTGCCGCGTGGCAACAGCCCTACCTGAGCTACTCGACGTGATAGCCACGGTGGCAGTAGATACACCCAGGCTTTTAGTCATGGGTGATTTCAACTTGCCATCCGTCGGTGAAACGTCTGAGGTGGCTCGGGAGTTCATGGCTTCCATGACGGCCATGGACCTGACCCAGTTAGTTCATGGCCCTACTCACAGGGGAGGTCACACTCTGGATCTGATTTTTGTCTCTGGCCAGTGGTTGAGTGGTCTTGTTATAGGGGATATAGACATGGAACCCTTGTCATGGTCTGACCACTCACTCCTTCGCCTAGATCTTCGAACCGCGACCCCTCGCCGCAGGGAGGTGGATCCAATTAGATGGATCCGCCCCAGGCGCCTGATGGATCCTGATAGGTTCCAGACGGAGCTTGGGCCATTTCCTGAGGATCTAGCACATGACTCGGCCGAGGACCTGGTAGCCGCCTGGGATCGGGCGGCTGGTGGGGCCTTGGACCGAGTTGTGCCTTTGCGGCCTCTGACCCGATGCCGATCCCGTGCGGCTCCTTGGTTTACTGAGGAGCTGAGGGAAATGAAGTGCCGGAAAAGACGCCTGGAGAGCGGTTGGAGGGCCAGTCTCGCTGAATCTGATCGAACACTGGTAAGGTCGCATATTAAGGCCTACCTAGTGGCGATAGAGACGGCAAAGTCTAACTACTTTTCCGCCTCTATTGCGTCATCAGGGAATCGTCCGGCTGCCCTGTTTAGGGTGACCCGCGCCCTGCTCCATCCAGGAGTGCGGGAGGATCCCTTAGAAGGCAGGGCGGAGGATTTCGGACAATACCTGTATGACAAAATCGCCCAGATCCGGGGGGATTTGGACTCTGACTGGGTAGATCAGGGCAGGGTGACGAGGAATAGTCCTGAGAATGTTATCTGGGAGGAGTTTGATGCTGTGACTCCTGATGATGTGGACAGGATTTTGGGGAGACTTAGTGCGGCCACATGTTTACTGGACCCGTGTCCCTCCTGGTTGGTACTGGCTTCCCGGGAGGTTACACGAGGCTGGCTCCAGGGTGTTATCAACGCTTCGTTGAGTGAGGGTTACTTCCCCACCGCCTTGAAAGAGGCGGTGGTGAGGCCTCTCCTCAAGAAGCCGTCCCTGGATCCGGCAATATTGGCCAACTATCGTCCTGTCTCCAACCTTCGCTTTATGGCAAAGGTTGTTGAGAGTGTGGTCGCACGACAGTTTCCGCAATTCCTGGAGGAAACATCTTATCTAGATCCGTTCCAGTCGGGTTTCAGGTCTGGGCACAGCACAGAAACGGCATTGGTCGCGTTGGTTGATGATCTCTGGAGGGCTCGGGACAGGGGTTGTTCCTCTGTTCTGGTCCTGTTAGACCTCTCAGCGGCTTTTGATACCATCGACCATGGTATCATGCTGCACCGGCTGGAAGAGTTGGGGGTGGGAGGCACCGTGTTGCGGTGGTTCTCCTCCTTTCTCTCCGACCGGTCGCAGTTTGTGTTGGCAGGGGGGCAGAGGTCGACCTCGAGGCCTCTCATTTGTGGAGTGCCGCAGGGATCGGTCCTCTCGCCCCTTCTGTTCAACATTTATGTGAAGCCGCTGAGTGAGATCATCCGTGGCTTTGGGGTGAGATACCACCAGTACGCTGATGACACCCAGCTGTACATCTCCACCCCAGGCCACCCCAACGATGCCCTTGAAGTGATGTCCCAGTGCCTGGAGGCTGTACGGGTCTGGATGGGGAGGAACAGGCTCAAGCTCAACCCTTCCAAGACTGAGTGGCTGTGGCTCCCGGCATCCCGATATAGTCAGTTGACTCCATCACTGACTATTGGGGGGCGAGTCATTGGCCCCCACAGAGAGGGCTCGCAATCTGGGAGTCCTCCTGGATATGCAGCTGTCCTTGGAGGAACATCTGACGGCTGTAACCAGGGGGACCTTTTGTCAGGTTCGCCTGATTCGCCAGTTGCGGCCCTTTCTTGATCGGGATTCCCTGTGCACAGTCACTCACGCCCTCGTCACCTCTCGCCTTGACTATTGCAACGCTCTCTACATGGGGCTCCCCTTGAGGAGCACCCGGAGGCTCCAGCTGGTCCAGAACGCAGCAGCGCGGGTAGTGACGGGAGCAGCATGGCGCTCCCATGTAACACCGCTCCTGCGCAAGCTGCACTGGCTCCCAGTTGTCTTCCGGGTGCGCTTCAAGGTGTTGGTTATCACCTTTAAAGCGCTCCATGGCATAGGGCCTAGCTATCTCCGAGACCGCCTGCTGCTACCAACGACCTCCCATCGACCCGTGCGCTCCCACAGAGAGGGCCTCCTCGGGGTGCCATCAGCCAGACAATGTAGGCTGGTGACCCCCAGGGGGAGAGCCTTCTCTGTGGGGGCACCTACCCTCTGGAATCAGCTCCCCCCAGAGATAAGGAGAATCCAAGACCTCAGTGCCTTCCGTCGCGCCCTTAAAACCCATTTATTTAAACAAGCCGGGCTGGCTTAAGATGAAATTTTTAACTGTTTTTAAATGTTTTAAACGTTTTTAATTGGTAAATGAGTTTTAATTGGGCCAAATTTATATATCTTTTAATTGTTTTTAATATTTGTTCTGCATGTTTTTTTAATCTGGCTGTACACCGCCCTGAGTCCTTAGGGAGAAGGGCGGTATAGAAATCCAATATAAAATAAATAAATAAAATAAACTGTCTTTATCCTGAATTTTGCCTAGATAACCTTTAAAATAAGTTTTCTTTATTTTAAAAAGAGCCAAACTATAGAGCCAAACTATACTAAGATTCAGTATCTTGGGTTCATAACCTGTTGGTTTAAATATGTTTTGTATGAATCCAGCTACTCCAGTTTATTCATTACAATATGACTCAAAACAAACCATGTCCTAATTCAACTATGAATCCAGTTCAGGTATTATATATATTGTCTGGGCAAATATTTCATTAACTCACCTGATTATCAAGTTCATCTTTTAAAAAGGGCATTTCATCACCTTCCTTAACATCCCATCTGTAAAAGAGCAAAATAAAGTAGGGGACGCTGTTCAGTTTTGACAAAGTAGAATACAAATTCTGGTCTTTGTTAGAAAGTTTTGCTTATCTTAACTGGATTGTCCCTAAATGAAAAAAATGTGCATTGTAGCATAGCTGAAACCTTGCAAGTTGACTCTCTTTACTTGATCAGTAGTCATCCACTCATCTATATAAAGTTCTAGCTTGCCTTCACTTTATCTAATCCATGATTGATAAGGAAGTCAAAATAACAGGAGAGAAACTCTGGGATAGATCACTCTTGTAGGAGAATAATGACAATTTTATTTAAAAAAATTATTAAACTTATATGCCACCCATTTTACTCTGCAAAGTGATTCTGGGCAGCTCCTATTTACCTATTTAATTAGGTAAAATCAACTATTCATATTTAAAAACATGAACTTGAAACTGTCCAGAACAAAAACAGCTGAATTGCTTTTAACATTTGGGCTCAAGTTGACTGAATTATAAACTCTCTTACACAAATATATAGTTGTGTATACATATGTGTATGATTGTGTGTGTGTATGTGTGTGTGTGTGTGTGTGTGTGTGTGTGTATACATGTATACCTATGCACTTACACACACACATCAAGCCACAGTAAATCTGTGAATTATAAGATTTGAAATTAACTCATCTGGAATAAATCAAGCTGGTTAATCAAGCTACTCAACATATATTTAAACCAGTTGTGCACGGACTAAAAACTGAATAATTGTTTACATTAAATGAAAAAAGCCTGAGCAAACATCATCTAGAGCAAATATTATTTATTATTTATTGACTAGATAGCTCTATATCCTACCCTCCTATGCACTCTGCATTTGCACTCTGAGTTCTAGAGAAACATTGTTTTCAGAAAATGAAACAAATCCAGCATAAACAAAACACATTTTTTCTTGAGATTGTGCAGAAGCCAGATGAATAATCATGGAGGTGTGGGTGTGGGGGGAATTAACTATTTGAAGGATTTTCAGTCCGTATCATGTGAATGCCTTGCATGATCCAAGGCATCTTTTTGTCTTTGCTTCAAAGTCCTGCAGAGTCTTACTGTGAAATTCACCTTAGACTGCATTCATTCAAACATGAATTCAAACATGAAGAGTTGCTGAAACTGTTCCTAAACTCATCTCACCTCAGACTGCCAGTGAGTCATTATTTTGCAATGAAAGTCTTCCATCATTGCGTGTGTTCTTTCACTGAGCTACTTCTTAAAAAGCCAGGTGACTTATGGACGCACAAAAAGAGAAATTAAGCACTCTAAGTTCCCACATGCAAAGAGGGTAATGATACCTGTTACTCAAAATAAAAGCATGTATACTATAGTCTAAAAGCATACAGAAAAAGAGTAAATGAACACTTAAATATAAGGTCCCTTTCTTCTTCCTCAAATTGTCCTGTTTGGTTGTCGTCCCCCTGCAGATATTAGAAAGCAGAGAACAAACAGGGAACATTATGTGCCAATCAATATTCTCCCAGCATCTGACCAATAATTTGATCAATTGGGTTGCCCAAGTAACTGCAATTCCTGGATTAATACAATTCCTCCCATGGGGAAGGGAAGGGGAGAGGAGGGGAGGAATGTGCTCCTGCCATATTTCTAGAACACAGTGCATTCATTTGCCTATAGAAATATCAGAGCTATTGATAAAATGTCAGAGGTGGAACCTCCACAGTTTTATTGAAAATCCTGTTGCTAATGAAAGGATAGCATGCCAACAATTTTGCATCTAAGTGCCTTTTCTAATAGGTGTAACCATGGCTGCACATTGCTAGAATGAAGGGAAGTGAAATATATATGCTAAACAATGCTTACAAACAAGGCCTATGGACAGAAGGAAGGCTGCCTGTGAAGGGAATGTAAAAAAGCCAACTGTCCAGGAACTACAAAAATTCCAGAGCTCATGCCAAAGGAAGGAGAGGAATAAAGCTAGAAAACCTCCCCATCTACAAGGCACAACAACAGCAACAAAAGATGCAGCAGCTGGGTGAACACTTATCTCCTCTCCCTTTCCTTGGAGAGAATAGGGAGAAGGCAGCTATAAGAATTTGCAGACTCAGACCAGCTAAATCCTCTTTTAAAGTTCTAAAGTGGAATTTAAAGACCTCTAAATTCCAGAAGCTCATCTGTATTCATTAACCTTAAACTGGCTGCAAATTCTATAGTGTATAGAATTTAGTTTTTCCAGATTTTAGTCATCTGATTTATCTCATGCATTAGGATTATGCTAAGTGGGTTGCAAAAATCACAGGATGGCAGCAGGGAGTTAGACTGTTCTGTTTCTCTTTGTTGCCATCTAGGGGTAGCTCAGATTTTTGCAACCCAGACATCATAACCAAGCTGAAGAAAAGGAATGTGATACAGAATATTTTCTATTGTTTATATTCATTCATGTGTTAATGTATAGCGAGACAAAATTGGCAACTGAATTCACACTTCCTGTCCTGGCAGATAACCGTCAATAATTGTTATGTATCGTTATGTACAGTTATGTAATTGTTATGGAAACATCAGCTATGTTTCCTCTTAAGTGGTACATAAGATAAACTAGGAAAAAGTAAAACCTCAATTTAACAGAACAGGAGAAGCAGGTGTTCACTAAACCAAGTGTTAAATCCAAAGTTTCCCTTTCCTCAGTGGTATTGCAGAAGATAAGTAGGTAACTAAAGCAACATTGAAGCAGGATGACTGGGGCCCTGCTCCTTTTCTATGTCCGAGGTCATTAGAGTTGAGCAGTTTATAAGGTAAAAGTAAGGTAAAGGTTCCCCTCATACATACAGTAAGTGCTAGTCGTTCCTGACTCTAGGGGGTGGTGCTCATCTCCATTTCAAAGCCAAAGAGCCAGTGCTCCAAAGACGTCTCTGTGGTCATATGGCCAGCATGACTAAACACCAAAGGCGCATGGAACGCTGTTACCTTCCCACCAAAGCTGGGCCCTACTTTTCTACTTGCATTTTTTATGTGCTTTTGAACTGCTAGGTTGGCAATTTATACATTCAAATAAATAAATATGTATTGCGTTGTGATGCACACAAAAGGAGCAGAGTTTGCACCACAGTGGCACAATGTTGCTTTCATTGTTCTGACAAAAGCAATGATATCTGGCAGTGGCCACTGCTTTGCCTCTTTTTCCTTCCCTTCTATGGGTGATTTGTCTTAGCAAATTGTGGAAAGAGTCCTCTTTCTTCAAATGCTGCCAGGAATAAAATGTTGGTCAAAGCAGGAGCTCTGTTGCCTCCCTATTCTTCTCAGCATCTTCCAAGGCTCCTTTCTTGACCTAGTCTTGCCTCCATTGGATCTTCTCTTGGCAAGAACTCAAACATGAAGAGAATGTAGAATCATACCTGGTTTTTAAGGGTTTTTAAGCATTGTCTACTATCTTGCCTGCTTTTCCCAATAATAGAAGAGTCACTGTTTCCAGAAAAGCTGCCTGGATGAAAAGTCTATCCATAGTAGCCAAAGTTGACTAAACTTTACTAAACTGGAATCCACACTGTATATCGGACATTAATACAATTGAGCGAGTCCAGAGGTATTTCACGAGAAGAGTCCTCCACTCCTCTGCTCACAATAGAATACCTTATGCCACCAGGCTTGAAATTTTGGGCTTGGACAACTTAGAACTATGTTGCCTATGGTCTGACCTAAGCATAATACACAAAATTATCTGCTACAATGTCCTACCTGCCAATGACTACTTCAGCTTCAACCGCAATAATACACGAGCACACAATAGATACAAGGTAAACTGCTCCGAAAATATGACTTCAGCAACAGAGTGGTCAATGCCTGGAATACACTACCTGACTCTGTTGTTGCATCCCCAAATCCCCATAACTTTAACCTTAGACTGTCTACTGTTGATCTCACCCCAGTGTCTACCGTCCCTGGCCTACTGTCCCCATTTATTCGTATCCATTTCCTGTGTTCATATTCATGTTTCTGTTATCTCATACATGTTTGACAAATAAATAAATAAATAAATAAATAAATAAATAAATAAATAAATAAATTGAGATCGATTAAAGCAAGGATGTAATAAATATAAAATCTGCTCAATTTAAAGTAGAACAAAGTACAAAATCCTATGAAGTCCTACTGTGAAATTAACTTTAGACTGCATTCATTCAAAGGGGCAGAAGAGGTGTTGTTTGGGTGGGCCATATTCTGTCGTCTAATTATAAGACAGAGACCTGGCAGAGCAGAAATTTGACAGATCAAGATATTCTTGGTATCTTTTAGTTTTTTGCTTTTCAAAAATTTCCTTGAGGCAAAGAGTTTAAGTAATGATAACAGCCATGGTACATAATTTTTAAAGATTCTGTATCCTTGATGAAATACAGTATAGCAACAGTCTCAAACCTTTCTGGCTCCATTGACCGGTGAAGGCAGCGGCATTTGGGGGGGTGGCAGGGAGAGGAAATGGTTTTGCATGCAGACACCACTTTCACAAATGCGCATACACTTGCCAATAAACTTCTGCAGTCCAGTTCCAAACTGGCTACGGTCCAGCACTGGGTCACAGGCTGTGGGTTGGGGACCCCTGTAGTACAGCATTATTTTTAGCCACTATCAGATAGAAGATGCCAACTAAAGGTAGTAAACATAGTTGGGGCATCATGTTGCCTTCCCTGTACCCTTCACAGATGAAAATAAATACATTGTCACCTGGGTAGGGTTATACTGAGTTGACCATCAGCCTTTATATATAGAATAAGAAAGTTTTAATTTGTTCTTCCTTTCAGAAACTATGATCTTTTAGAATAGGCAAAGATAAGATCCAAAGTAGGGATCTTCTAATGCATCCTATTTGGTTTCTAAATCACGAGTTATATTTACATTACTGCTCAAGTGTATTAAGAGAATATTCCCAGATAAATGTGTTAGGATAGTAGCCCTAATCTCAATTTTGCTCTTTTAAAAGATGCCAAACTTTGGTGACAGGCCAATTTCAGGAAGATAGAAATTTGTCTGCTTTTTTCTTCTTGTTCATCATTTAGCATGCTACATCATTGAAAAGCATATTTTTTGTTTACTCAGTTGATACAGTTCATCCTCCACTTATTAACTAGATTAAACTGTTACAGAACAATTAGATTCTAATTATCTGACTTTCATATTTTCTAGCGTGACCAGCAGCTGGCTTTTCTTCCAGTCCTTGAGGCACACATGCAGAGCTATTATAATAGTTTAAATACCAATGTTAGCTAGCTGCAGCTCAGGATTATTAGCATTCATACTCCCTTAATAAAAAGCAAAAGCACTGTTAGGTATAAGCCATATAACCTATTTTTTTCTAAAATTCTTAAAGGCAATCCAAAAATGTTTTCCAACCACCACCACCACCACCCAATCTTATAAATTTGGGATAAGGGAGGAGAATTTTCAAATAGGATTCCAGCTGTGCAACCCACTGAAAATTCCTCCTTTGCAACAAAATTGATTTTAAAAATGCTTTGTTAACTCTTAAAATGTGTTTAATGTAACAAAAGCAATTTCTCACTTATTGGTCACCTCTGAGGATATTATAATCATTTTAAGGTTGTAGATGAAATTTGGAACTTGGAGCATTAGCTCACATGGGAATTGCAACAAACGAAGAGGAACTGGCATTTTTATTTCCACAAACTTAGATGTCATATGTTACTTTGGTCCAAATAAACAGCAGCAGCACTGAATCTGCTGTTGTTACAGAATTTTATGGACTGGGTCCTTAACTTACATGGTAAATAAATTTAAGAGTCAGCTTCTCATCAGCAACAGCAATTATAAGAGGTGGTTTTTATAAGATGAGTCCTTATAAAATGGCCATTTGTATTAATAAAAAAAACAGAGGTAAATGCCACTACCATCCCTGCAGCTTGCTCTTCTGAAGAAAAATGCTATAATTTTTCAGGACTCCTAGTAATTCAGATCTAGGTTGATATTCTAAATGGGGCAGTCAATGGGCTCTGTCCTGATGAATTTGCACATTGGACAGGAACTGCCATTAACCATATAGCAGCCTCTCCTAGCTTGTTACTCTTCCTGGACAAATTCAAAATTGATTTCTGCCTAGACAGTAATCTCCTGCTAGCTTTAAATCTTCAGCCTTTGAGTCAGGAATTATTTCTATTAATGGACAATCTGTTCCAGCCAAACTTAGATATAAGATATTAGAGTTTCCTATATAAAGTGGCTGAGAAAAATTAATTCTTTATTTACGGAAAGATTAAACTCTTTCTGGAGATCAGAACATCCACAACTGCATGCTAACTAGGCCAAGATATCTCTAAATAAATAGGCAGTAATCAAATGCCCCCTCCCCATTTCAATAATTTGTTTATGAGTACAATTAAACAAAGAAAGATGTTGTTGCTTTCTATCATGCCTACTAATTCTTTATATAAAGATTATGTGCAGCTTAATCTAACAAGGCTCCAAGCACTAAAATAAAAACAAAGAAAATGGAGTAATATGTGTCTTGAGAGTGAATGCCATCTATATTCCTATCAAGTTTCCTACAATTTAAAAAGCAATATTAATTATAGTTATTAACAAAAAAGGAGTAGTGTATTAAAGGAGGAATGGATAAAAGGATGAATTAAAACTACTCCAACACCTAATCACTTAAGTCAATCTAACACTTAAAAACTGGGAAAAAATGTTTAATTTGAGGGTTCAGTTTTTCTAGAGGAACTCTGAGGTTCACAAAATATAGATTTCCAGCATTGTATTTTAGTTGTAGCAAACATGATCAGATAGATATCCATCTGGACTTTCTAATTATTTCAAAATTAAATTTTGTGTTTGGGAACCATTAATCTAACTTTATTTGTATTTATGAAAATTTATTTTAAACTAACTGTAACTATGTTTAAATAACTAAGCAGATTTGATACCAAATACTTTTTCAGGAGTAGCAAAGTAACTCACCTGGACATGTATTTATTCAATTTTTATAGATTTTTAGCATTTATAGGTCTTCCTTTAGGGGCAATGTGAAAAACAATTAGAAATGCATTAAGTAACTCAAAACTTTATTTATTTTTATGAAAAAGTATTTGGTATCAAGCCTGCTTAGTACTTGGATGGGAGATTACAGGAAATTTCAGGTCTGTAGGCTAAACTGGGAAATCCACCCATCCATCCAGGAAGAAGACAATGGCAAACTGCTTCCATGGTGAAGGAAATTACCTGGATATGTTAGGGGAAAATATTATACTGCTCTAAGCAAGTAAGCTGTACATTTACAAAGCTGAACATTGAAAATGTAAAATACATGCCTGAAAATGTTTGCAACTGAAATACCATTCTGAAATGGAGTGTCGATTCCTTTAAAAGAGGACACATATTAACACGTGTGAAATCTTTTAAAATGTTATTCTCTTACCTTCTGGCTCTGCCTGTCAACCTGTCTTTCCCTCTGGCTTTGCTGCTTGCTACCAGTAGTGTTCTGGAAACTGATTCAGTGCTACTCTTCCTGCGTTGTCCTCCGCCTGAAAAATAAGCCACATGGACAGATTAAGAACCAAATAGTTCAGAAAGCAGACTAGGCATGCTCTATCCTATGATACTAGCCTACACAGAATCATGTTGAATAAAATGAAAAATGTCATCTTTCATCAGATATCAGGGCTTTGGTTGAAGACTTATGCCATAGAAATTCTCCCTCAATTAAGCAAATATAAATTTGGCCATTATCTGGGTGGGAGACTTTCTGGAGATGTTCCCTGTGACTATGTTCAGATGACACAGTAAACCTTCTCTGAGGGAGATGGATGGTTCAGAAATGTGAAAAATAAATTTTTAAAAAATTAAAAATATATAGGGTAATTTAAAAACAAGAGAGGCAAACTAAGTAACTCTAATCCTTATCTACATTTCTGATGGTAGCGTATGCTCTACCATCACAATTCCTGCATTCCTGGTCTGTTGTTTGCCAGCCTTTCCCCCAGCTACCTATCCAGTTATGCAGGGATGAAATGCTCCTGGTTCGGACCGGATCACCCGATCCGATAGCGATGGCAGCAGGTGGTTCGGAGAACCGGTAGCAAAAATCCCCCCCCCAATGCACAGCTGAGCCGCGTGATCATTAGAGTTTTTTTTTTTTTACTTCTAAAAGTATTTTTTCTAAAACCTCTTCAGCCAAAGAGGTTTTAGAAAAAATGCTTTTAAAAGCCTCTGACGATCAGGCAACTCAGCTGGGATCATCAGAGCCTTTTAAAAGCATTTTTTAACCACCTCTTCAGCCGAAGAGGTTGTAGAAAAAATGCTTTTTAAAGTAAAAAAAAAAAAAAGTTGGCCACGCCCACCCAATCACATTACCCCCCACCAAGCCACACCCACAGAACCGTAGTAACAAATTTTACATTTCACCACTGCAGTTATGCCTTCACAGGGAGAAAAGAGAGTCTATACAGGACTGATAAATCTTTCTGGGAAAGAAAAAAAATCAATCTCTTTTTTATAGCAGTGGCACAAATATCCTCCAATAATGATGAAGTCAAAGTGCAGTAAACAGAGCCACAATGGCAGCTGCATTATAGCATTGGAAGAGAAAAGCAACCACAGATCTACTGACGTTTATACAAGTAGCAGTTGATAGTTTTTCCTGGAATCATCCAGGGGTTGAATAATGGTCTTAGGCTAAAATGTCCTCTGCTATATAAATCTTTTTCAAGACACATATACACACACCCTTCCCCCCCCCCCCCAAGATAAGTAGCTTGTGAAAAGCAGCTACCTTTGGTAGTATATCTGAACAGGACTCAAACTTGCTTCTTGGATTTACTCCAAAGGTGGGTTTCAGCAGGTTCTGACCAGTTCTGGAGAACCGGAAGCGGAAATTTTGAGTAGTTCAGAGAACCAGTAAATACCACCTCTGACTGGCCCCTCCCCCATCTATTCTCTGCCTCCTGAGTCCCAGCTGATCAGGAGGAAATGGGAAATCAGGAGGAAATTTTGCAGTAACCTTCCCATGGAGTGGGGAGGGAATGGAGATTTTACAGTATCCTTCCCCTGCCATGCCCACCAAGCCACACCCACCAAGCCATGCCATGCCCACAAAGCCACGCTCACAGAACGAGTAGTAAATTTTTTTGAATTCCACCACTGATCTACTCACTTTTCCCATCAGAAGGTAGAGCTCGTAGCTGGGACTTCCAGACATTTTTTCCCCCTTGAAAGCACAAAGCATGAATAATATAAAAATGTGTACGTTTGAGAAAGAACTGAGATAATAGTGAATAAACAAAGGAAATGTTTTTCCTTGACAGTACAATATGCATACGTACAGGGTAAAAACCTCCAATTTTTCTGAAGGAGTATCTTTTCTTTTATGAATTAGAATATGTATTCTAAGTTTTAGATACCACATTTAGTATTCAGTATAAGCTCTGTAAACTATGTCTTCAAATCTTCTCTGTCAAACTTTAACCACTTTTAATAGCAGCTAAATTCTATACTTTGAAAACAGGCTGATTTATGCTAGCAACCAAGATACATAACTGAAATATCTCTTTTCTGAAACACTTGAATATATTACTAAATTCCAAAATTAAAGCTATTAGGGTCTTTCAGCTGTAATAAACACTGATTTAAGATTAAAGTTTGTCTTACATTTATTTTCTGCAGAACCACATAGAAGCAAGACTGCATTAGGAATTGAGGCATGGAGCTACACGTACCATCATTGCCTTCTACCCTTTATTTTGGACATTTTTGTGAGTTTTAACTCATATAAAAATGTTAAACATATGACTCATCACATAAAATAGGTCTTTAAAAAAAAGAAGTAGAATCAGAATCAAACAGGCAGTAGCCAAAGATTAGACAGCAAACAAAGAAGATACTTAAGAAGTCAAATGTTCATAATTTCAATATATTTAAATCAGTACTCAACTCAAGTCGTTTTGCTAACCTTTTTTATTCTGGGGACAGTCCAAAACTGGTTTTCCATCCCTTATATCCTCAAACCTGCAAATTAAAACTATAATTCATGAACTAGAAAAGATTGATCTTTTCTAACTATTTCAAAGCCATCTATGGCAATGACATTACAGAACTGTGATGATCTGAATTATAACAGGTTTCATAATACAATGTTCTGTTCAGACTGTTCTGGACTATTCCAATCAATTTTATTTAGCCTCCACAAGTAATAGTTGCTTAGGAAAAACGCTTACTGTTATAATTTCTAGCTTGCCATAATCTATATACCAAAAATTCATTGTAGGATTTGAGAGAGATGTTCATTAATAAGAGAAACAGAGAGATTTACAAACTGTATAGAAAATAAATTGTGAAGACCTTGTTTCTAAATATGCTGAGATATCCTTTTTCTCTTTCAATTATATATAGCTGGCAGTATAATACATCCACTAAGGACTGCTGAATTCAAACCATTTACTGAGAAAGAGACATTGATGTACTATCACTTTTCTCCAGTAATCATAAGCCAATTGCCAGTAAAAGTGTTCTTGAAATGTTAGCGATTTCTTGTTCTACCAGATTACAAAGTCTACCAGTGACCTCTTTGTATAATCTACAACGTGCAGAATGCTTAGAGACTGATATTATTATGACTGGTTGCACAGTCAGTTAGATGTTTAGATTGGATTTGGCATTTTAATCCACCTCTTGAGTTCTTCTCAAGGACCTGGGCTAGGTAGAAGTTGTTTGATGGTTAAAGGTATTGTCTCAGGATATAAGCTGTTCCAGGTAAAGCTGCCTTTTTTTAATTGTCTGATTGTGAATCTTTCAATGCTGGTGGTGTTCAAGTGATGCTCAGTTGTTTTGAGATTGAATTTAAAGCATCTGTTACTATTGATACTATCTTTGCCTTCTTATGCCACAGTCGTTCTACTTCTATTTTCACGTCTTTGGTTTTTGTGGTTTTCTGCAGTTCTTTCTCTTGGATTCTGCTATCACTAAGTACTTCAACATCGACTTTGCAGACTTCATTGTCTTTCTTATTGACAATTGTTAACTCTGGCATGTTATGTGACAAGTGCCTATCTGTTTGAATTCTAAAGTTTCAGAGCAGTTTAGTTTCTTCCTTTTCTTTTACTTTGTCTATTTTGTGATCCCTCCAATTCTTGATTGCAGGCAAATCAGAGGTGGGTTTCAGTAGGTTCTGACCAGTTCTGGAGAACCGGTAGTGGAAATTTTGAGTAGTTCAGAGAACCGGTAGTAAAAATTCTGACTGGCCCCGCCCCCGTCTATTCTCTGCCTCCCAAGTCCCAGCTGATCGGGAGGAAATGGGGTTTTTGCAGTAACCTTCCCCTGGATTGGGGAAACAATGGAGATTTTACAGTATCCTTCCCCTGCCACGCCCACCAAGCCATGCCACACCCACCAAGCCACACCCACAGAACCGGTAGTAAAAAAATTTGAAACCCACCACTGAGGCAAATGGTATTTTTTGAGGATATTCCAATGCACCATTGTTGCTATTTGTTTGAGGTCAGTCTGTGTGATCTTCTTGCAGCAGCTGACTAGGCTCTTCAGTTGCAATTGCTATCTGTTGCTGTCTTCTCAATTCTGGTTTTGTACTGTACGCAGAATGTTCTTAAAGCTTAGTTTTATGTAGCCAAACTCAGCTTCTCAGTCTCTTTCTTCAACTTTCTTACTCTTAGCCATTGCCAGGTCTTATTGTTACCTGCTTTATTATTATTTTAAATTTCTTATAGCTACCCACCCCCATAGATTCTGGGTGACTTAAAAATACAAAACAATAAAAATAGGCAGCTTGTACTAAAACAATCAAATCATAATACATCCAACCAAACAGAGCTTTTTGGAACCCAAGAAAGGGGGCACAGTCCCTCTCTCTGGGTATACTGTTCCAGAGGACTGGTGCCATGACAGAGAAGGTATGCTTTCTTGGTCCTATAAAATGACAACACTTAATAGGGGAGAGCTGGAGCATACCCACTCTGCCAGAACATCCTAGACGGGCAGAAACAGTTGGAGATAGGTGGTCCCTCAGATCTCCAGGTCCTATGCCATAAAGGGAGATAACATAAAGATAACCTACATGCCCTTGGTTTTCTCTACATCCCAAGCCCGTCGCCATTCGCCCCTTGCATTCTTGTGGCGGGTGAGCCGCTCAAGATCAATCTGATCCCGTTCTTTCTTCCATTGCATGTACTCTGACCGTTCTCTCCCAGCCAGGGGGCAGTTTTTCTCTACTGGGCTCTCCTGCGGAGAATTCTCTCTTTCCTAATAGAAAAAAAGAATGACCAATTAATATGAAAGCATTCCCTGGGTATGCCAAATACAACGCGTTAAGAGTGGTTTATTAGAATCATTTTTAGCTTTTACTTGATTTTATTATTGCATTTATACACCTTTCTATTGAGACATCCAGGTGGCATGTGGAAATTTTTTCCTAGTTTTATCATCACAGAAGGCCTGTGGATAGGCTGAGGTAAGAGAAAATAGAAATCATTTCACAATGAACTCCATAGTTGAATAAGGACTTGAACCTGAGCTTCCTCGCTGTAACTCCAACCCTTTAACCACCATGATACATAGACTAAGTTTCCCTGACTGAAATGTAATTCCTTCCTTCCTTCCTTCCTTCCTTCCTTCCTTCCTTCTTCACTTACCCACCCACTCACTCACTCATTTATATAGCAATCTAGCTATACAAAGGAAAGGAAAGGAAAGGAAAGGAAAGGAAAGGAAAGGAAAGGAAAGGAAAGGAAAGGAAAGGAAAGGAAAAGAAGAAAGGAAAAGAAAAGAAAAGAAAAGAAAAGAAAAGAAAAGAAAAGAAAAGAAAAGAAAAGAAAAGAAAAGAAAACGAATGCTTGACAGCAAATAGGCAATGCTAGATTTGGATCCATTTCATATCAATTTAGAATTGTCTTCCCCAGTCAGGCTTTCTCTATTCCAGTGTTTCTCAACCTTACCAATCTTGTATGGACTTTAATGCACTCCAATTTATATTAAAAGTTTTTACAGCAATAATAAATACTAATAGAAACTAAAACAGAACAGAGAAAAGGAATGAAAAAATAAAAGAAAGAAAAGAAAAATCTAAAAGTGCAATAAGGAAAAAAGTAGTAGTAGACAAAAGGAGAAAGATACAAAGAAGCAGATTCTTATAGTCTTCACAGCAGTTATAATTACAATTATATTTGAACCTCTTTCTCTAAAGTTATATCATGACTCTCTTCTTTCTAAAATTTAACCCCTTTAATCATCAGAACCACAACTCAAAGTTCATTTTGTTCATTTTTATGCAAAAAAGTCTGTCAGGGTTTTCCAGTAACCAATAAAAGTAAACATTGTCCTTTCTCTAATCAAATAAGTCAGTTTGCTGATCTGGCACTTCATTTGTCTTCTGCTGATCTTTTCCTCCTTTATCTTCAATTTTATAGGACATGGCCATTTCAAAATATGACACAGTTCTTAAAATGTGGAACAGTGAGTGCTCAGCAAATAAATAGTAATGGTTTTATAAAAGATCATTGCAGTATGAAACATACATCATAGACATGCCAAGGCAATATAATTCAGGAACTGCTGCTGTTATAAAATACACAAACAGGTAGAAAATTTTGATATATGAAATAATGCAATTTTATCCTACCTGTCTATCTATCCATCCATCTACCCATAGGCTTCATGCAACCCAGTATTTATAGACTCTGAGTATCAAAACTTCCTAATATATTATAATGTGTCACCTATTTCCATAGTTCAAAATTCAAAATCTCCACAATTCAGAGGAGGACTTCCAAGATACTATCTGGAAATGAAGCTCTATGAAGAATTGTTAAAGGATCCAGGTGTGTTTAGGCTACAACTAAAGGACAACTAAAGGAGATATAATAATTCCCTTTCTTTGACTCTGTAATCCCTTAACTCAGAATATAGCAGTCTTAAAATATTTGAAAGGTTTTCACTAGAATAGAGAGTGAATTTATTCTCTACTACCTCTGAGAATCCATATTAGAGCCAATGAGTTCAAATTTCAAGGACGTAGATGATAAGATGGTCATCAGGAGAAACTGCCTAACTACAAAAGCTCTCAGCCAATGAAACAGATCGCCACATAATTTGTTGAGTTGTCCTTCACAAATTGAGGCTGGATACTCATCTGTCAGGAAATGCTCTAGTAGATCCAGCACTTACTTACTTACTTACTTACTTTTATCTCACCTTTATTATGTTTACAAATAATTCAAGGCGGTGAGTGTATCTCATATGCCTTCCTTCTTCTTCCCTTTGAGGAAAGTTGGATTAAAAGAGAGTGCCCAAAGTCACCCAGCCAGCTTTAATGCCAAAGGCAAGGCTAGCACCACAGTCTCCTGGTTTCTAACCACTACATAAAAAATGAGTTTCAAAAGAGATACCTTTTAAACATACAAAATGGTAGTGCTAAAATACATAGCATGATCATTTCAGATTGACATATACCGTAATATTCATACATCAATTGGGTTTTGTTAGGTATGTAGTCAATTTATTAACAAATTTAGCAGAAGGCTGGATTAGATGACCTCTGTAGTACTTTGAAAATCTATGATTCTATATCCCAGATAATTGTGAGAGGATGGTAAAAACCAAAAAGGCCATAAATATAGATGGTCTATAGAAACCTCTTTCTGTATGATTCTCTAGTTTTTCTTCAAGAACAGAGTAGTTAAAAAGCAAGCATTTTAAAAATTAATTTTAAGACACACACATACAGAGTTTCTCTTTTATAGTTTCTGGTCCCAATTAAATTCACTGTTTAGATGAATTAAATAAAAGCTTTTTAATTCTCAAATTGGATAACTGAGTAGTAATAGTTATTTAACTCACTGAGAAATCAGCATAGGGAGGCTCTGAGGTAGAGAAATATATGTCATGATTTTTCAAAATTAGGAGCCTAGCATACCTTTCCTATCCTGGTGACATTAAATTATATTGCATTACAATCCCCATGTCTCGTAAGAGCTGGTAAAGATGGGAATTGTAGTCCACCATATTTGAAAATTTTCACATTGGGAAACCCTATCCTAAAGTAATGAGAAAAGGTTTTCATTGCCTGAGTTATCTGTCATGAACTATTCAAATCATTCATACTTATATAAGTGGGAGTTAACTTGCACTTCCAAAATGGACATGTACAAAACTAGGAACACTTCTTATGATATCAAAATGGTAAATTTAAAGTCTACATGGCTGGGCCTACTTTGGAAATGTTTCAGATCTTGCACATGACACATCCAAGGACAGGTGTAATTAAAGTGGATTTCCCAAACTTTTCAGAAAAAATACTTTCAGCCGGATAGTTTCAGTGATTCTGGCTGCAAGTGGGATTTGAACCAGGAACTTCACACACCTTTAACTATTCTATTGCACTTAAATGTACATAGCCAACTTCTTCCACTGTAGGGATCTCAGATGACACTGTGTACTAAACACCATCAAATACACAAGTACACAAGCCAAAGCAATGTTCCTTGAGGAGATAATTATTTGCCAGCCTCCAATAGCCTTGTGATTTATTATTGTAGCAGCCGAATGCTAGTCTTGCTGAAATGTTTAAAGACTTTAAACATTTCACAAAGGGTGAAAAAGGCAACTCAAAACAAAAAAAAAATGTATCTGAAGGAAAAACCATCAACACAGCAAGAGTTTCCTGTAATCCATTTGAGGTTGGGGCCAACCAGCAATTTTCTGCTCTATCAAGTCAAGAATATCCAGTAGAGAGCCAAATATACAGCTTGTCCTACAACATTATTTTCCTGTGGGTAATTCAATATCCCATCTCTTTCCCCTTCAAAAGTTGCCACCCCCACTTTTCCTCCAAACAAGAATTAATCTCCTTCTATTTTATTGCAGATCAAAATAGATGGGAAGAAAATTAAAGACCAGGAAACCTGTTTCCAAGGAGACTCACCTGTGTGGGTGGGCCAAGGGGAAAGGAACAAGAAGGCTTCACTTCACTACCAAAAGACAGAGCAGTGCCTGACAAACTGAGTCAAATTAAGGTGGAGAAGGAAGAAGTTTAAGAGCTCCTTTTGAACTATTGGAAAAACCCTGCTGGCTTTACAAGCCCCAAGATAAGTTTATAATAAGATCCCTCTGGCATCTTGATTTCTGTCTGCTTCCTAATTGTTTCTCATAATCTACAATGCCCTACTTGTTGAGTGTCAGACAACTCCTCGACACAAGATCCTGGGGAATATGAACCGTCTGAACATGAGCAACTGTATAGATCCAGAGCAAGATGGACCAGAAGAACAAAGACACGGTGAAGGGGGGGTGTTGTAGCGATTAGGATGGCACGGTGATATTAGGTGGTGGACGGTATAGGGGAACAGGGGGGCCGATAGATATCTCGACGGAAAGAAGACAGTGAAAATCCGGAAGTAGATGGCGACCCGCACCGAACCAGAATGGGATAGGTAGTGCGGTTACTTTAAATCTGTAATAGAGCGAAGGTGGGGCGCTTGAATAGCGTTCTATAAAACTGGATAAACGGCGGAACTGGCCGTCTCCGACTTTAATTCTCATTGAAGAACTTCAGCGCTTACTGTATGACCACCGTGTAAGCTACGATTAAACCGGATAGCCTCACCTTTTGAGTGTGCGTGTGTGGTGTTTGTCCGGCGAAGCACTGGCGGTTCCAGAGGAGGCTGACACTACCTACCAGAACTGGGAGTTTAGGGTGTAAGCAAGCAGCATGAGAAATAAGAGGTGTATTTATAGCATAGGATGAAACTTTTGTTCCAGAGGAATATTTTCTGTATAAAAACCCACCTGGGAAGAGTCAGTTCGGACATTCCAAGTCTGAAAATAAACCATGAAGCAGCCCAAGGGCCATCTCTGACTTAATGGTTACAAACCCAGATGGTAACTTGATCAAGCTAGATTAAAATAGTTCATTTTGTAGGCACCCATGGCCATTCTTCAAGAAAAAAACTGACCACGTTGCTAGCCATCACTATGGTATTTTCATGGGAAATCCATAGTTGAACTATACTTATGCTTTGGTAATATTTCTTGGCACAAGTTATTCCCTTTTGGATTCCCAACAAAAGGAGGGGAAAACAGGAGTGTCTGGAGATTCTCAGTCAGCCAGCTCATGGTTATCTCAAATGTGCTTTTTCAAAAGGCAACTGGACTTAGTTTTGCTTTGTTTTTTTTCCTTGAGGAAACTCAAAAAGCTCCTTCCATTCTGACTGAATGTTTATCTCTGAAAGTTCAGAATGGAAGAAGCTGCTTGGATGAGAAGCGAAATGTCTTCCTCAAGGAAAAAAACAAAATCCAGTTGCCTTTTGAAAAAGCACCTTTGAGAGGAGGCAGGCAAACATTAGATACGTTTGTCACCTTGAGTTACATATTTAAAAAGGCAATATCTAATTTAAAAAAGGCAAATATCTAATAAAATAATACAAAAGACACTCAGTCCAGGGGTGGGTTCTACTTACCTTTACTATCGGTTCACATTGTGCCCACACGTGCTCTTCTGTGCATGCGCAGAAGCTTCTAAGGGTGCACAGATCACTTATGATAACGTCTGGGTCAGTGGGCGGAGCTTCCCGTCGGTTTTACTACAGGTTCTTGCGAACCAGTCTGAACCAGGGGCAACCCACCACTGACTCAACCCTCCTACTTCACTCTTAGTCAGGACTGTCAAATTCATGTTCTGTGGGCCAGATGCGTCACGAGCTGGCCATGCCCACGCCCGGTTTAGTGAAAGGGGGAAAAGTCCCGATATGTCACGTGATATTGCCGTGACAACGCAAATTTGACACCCCTGCTCTAAGAGCTGGGGATAATAGAATAAAGTGCTCCCTTCCCAGAATAAGCCAAGGATTGGGAGACGTTTCCTTTAAATTGTGACAATTGCAACCATTTCTGATGGCTTCCACCTTCTTTGCATTTGTATTTGAACTGCATTGCTGTAACCTTCTCTTGCAGTAATATTTTTCCCCCTATTGAAAAATGAAGAGCTGTGCCCCAGGGACTGAAGTGGAGGCATCTCTGTGTGCAAGCATATTACCAAGGCCAAGTATAAAAGGGATAGGAAAAATAAATTGTTATTGGGTGAGACAATATTTATTTACAGAACATAGCATTAACTTTCAAGGTGTTTAGAATAGGAAACAAATATTTTTGTATACGCATTTTCAGCTGAACACACATGGCTGGATGAGAGAGAAGGAGCACTCCAACTTTACTGGAAAGAGGTCTCTGACAATGATGGGAACAGGAGAGTATCACTGTCAGGAAAGGAGTTGTTTACCTTTCAAGCTCAGCTTGGCCACAGCTGTGCCTGCTAGGCCATAAGGGAGTGAAATTAGCCGGCTTCATTGTACTCCTTTGTCTTCTGCTGGGACAGGCAAAGGAGCTCATCTGTGCTGTCTTAATGAGTCACCATCTCTACGAAAGGGAGGCTGATTCAATTTCTGCTCAGTTAATTAAGAGCATTGCTTGGCTCAAAGGAGTCAGGCTCTCCCTCTGCGTTCATAGGCCGTAGTCCTTGCATGCTGAATCCAGCTTAGTTTTTTCTTTGTTGAGTCGACCCCAGCATGTCAGATCCAAGAAAGCAATTTATCATAGCTGTGAGAAGGAATGGTTTGCATCGGGGTGTGAAGCTCAAGGCCCATGGGGTGCTTAGATCTGGCCTGCGGGGCCACTCTGGAAACAGTGAAGGACCAGTTCACAGTGCCTCTGGCAATGAAAATGGAGCTCGAGAGCTCATTTTCGCTGGCAGAGCACTCGGGCCACCACAGGCGCCGACACGAGTGACGTGAAGCTGGCCACGCCCACTCTGGTCACGCTCACCCCAGCCCTCAAAGTCAAACACAACCCTGATGTGGCCCTCAGTGAAATCTAGTTTGACACCCCTAGTTTGCATGGTTTGATGGCATAGGAAAGCTGTTCTGCTGATTGTATACAAATTTGATCAAATAAATAAAATAAATAAATTGTACAGATTGTACAGAGAGTCTCAGCCTGTACAAAATCTCACAGATGAGACTTTTATCGTCCTTCAAGGTGAATCAAACATTTCAAATCTCAGGCAAATGGATCAAATGAAGTGGATCCTTCCCTTCCTGGCACATCTTAGCTACAGCGTGGTTAAGTTAAAGAGCTGATTTGGCAAGCATGAGAGTTGAACTGTGACACTCAGCCAAGGATACCTTATCAATGGCCATACCGTACATTTTGCACCCTCTGGTGGACTTGTACTGAATGGCATTGTGACAGCCTGAGCTAACAGCTACTCAGGGCTGAGGACTGATGTGGTGAAAGAGACCACGAGCAGATCTGTAATATGCTCAGAAAGCATCTCAGTCTAGGCTGAATACTGTCACAATCACTTAGACTGTAGCTTTTTCTTCTCATCCATTTATCACTAGCATAATTATTATGAGTAACTACTAGTGACACAGGCTTTATTTGTGCCTTTTTTGTAGAAAATAGAACACACAAAGGTGGTTCAGATGAGCATTTTATATACGGTAAAATAGAAATTCATTTTGTTAATCCAAGCATGTATATATTTATATGACTAAAATGAACACATCATTTATTGGGTTATTTCATTTGTTGGATGTGTATGTATATGTACAGTATATAAATGCCTCCCCCCCTCCCATTCATTTGTTCCAATTCTTGGAAACTGGCTGATTAAGTCCGGGGGGTTTTGGCAAGATTTTTCAGAAGTAGTTTGCCATTGCCTCCTTCTTAGGGCTGAGAGAAAGTGACTGGCCCAAGGTCACTCAGCAGAGCCTGAATTCAAACTCTCCCAGTTTCTAGCCCAATGCCTTAATCACTAGACTAATGAGTTTCAAAAGAGGTGTTTTTTTAAACATGTAAAATGGTAATGCTAAAACACATAGCATGAGCACTTTAGATTGACAAATGTATTCACCTTATTGACATCGATTAGGTTTGACTAGCTGTGTAGTACTGTCTAGCTCATTACTTGACTACCTGTCAATTAAGCTGTCAGGGTAAAGAAATTTAATGGAATAGGACAGGGGAGATTCAGATTCAAGTCTACCTTCAATAATAACAGTTTATCACGTAACTTTGGGACAGTCATTCTCAGCCCAATCTGTCTCACAGTGTAGTTTTGTCGGGATAAAATGATACAATATCCCATGCTTGAGCAAAGATAATGATGATGATGATGATGATGATTTTTCTAGAATTCTGTAAATTGGCATTTGCCCATCAAAAACAATATCTCATAACCAAATCTAACTGGATGTAAACTAATGGATGGACTATCTCAGTGTTTCTTGGTAACTTTAAGATGCTTAGAACTCAGCTTCCAGAATTCCCCAGCCAGTAGGCAATATGTTGACTAGGGAATTCTGGAAATTGAAGTCAGCTTGAGAAATACTGGTTTATCTATTCACTGTCTGATCTGTTACTGGCCACAGTTACACATGATTTATAACGTGAAAAATGCAGTGGCACAACAACAGAAGTAAAATAAAATGGGCAAACTGAAAAACAAGTGAACACTTTCACTTTCAGGTGTTCAGGTGTAGAAAAGAAATATTGTCACCTTCAATTCACCTTCCACCAGTACATCAAAACAGACACATTTTGGTTAAATTCATGGTTATGTAGCTGGGAAGCAAAAAAACCCAAAATAAGATCCTGTTTATAATGCATATGTGTATGAGAGTAAACAAAATTGAATGTGGGGCTCATCCCTCACCTTTCTGAGGTGTGCAGTCTTCGGATGGTTGTCTTCCCCAGACCACTTCCTCTCTGTGGTTTTCCTTTCATCTGTCTAAAGAAATAAAGAAGGAAGGTCTCATTTATTTTTTCAGAAACAAAGAGGCTTCCGTAGACGTGGGAAAAGCCCACAGAGCTTACAAGAAAAAACAAGCATTTTTTTTTTAAATTAGGAATGGATAGAACAAAAGGGACTATGCAGATTGTTTCATGAACTTATCCAACGGAGAAGAAAATCATATAAGAAGAAAACGAGCAAGGTTCCTGCAAATCCCTTCTGTTCAAGTCTGCTGGCAGAAAGGAAGAGCAGGGCTGTAACTAAAAGCTTGGCCTTTATCTGTATCAGCATGTTCATTCAAAAATGCATAGAGAGAACCAGCTTCCGCATGGCAGTAAGGCATTTCCATTTGATTTGATTCACTAATTGAAAGACACTTTTAAAATCCTGGACATAGTAACTCTCTACATTCTTCACAAAGCCAAATGGTGTGTCCAGGTATGGACCACAGGGCCAAATGAGGAATTCTAGGATTTGGAAGATTCCCAATATATCCCAAATAGTCAATGATGGCCACAGTATCATAGCACTGTGCTATCTTTGTCAATTGAAACTGTAGACATACGTATGCCATTTCGGAGTCTGCGATAATATTGTTGTTTATTCCTTGTTAACTATTATTGCTATTGATGATGGCCATTGTCCTGATTCATGTGCTGAGGCTGGCAGCTATATAAATATAAATATTAGATAAATATTTTATCTCTTTGATAAAACAGTTGAACAAATCAACTGCTACTTGGAGGCTGTGCAGCCAATAAGAAAGTTAAAATGCCTTCATTGGCTATATCCTTCCAACACAATGATTAATTAGTTCATCTTATTGCTAGGCTAGAGAAAAACACCGATTTTAAAGTGATACACAGATGAACAAGGGTGGGCTTAAATTTTTTTAGCAAGGAGTTCTCTGCCCAGTTGCTGGGTGGGCATGGCCATGGTGGGTGTGGCCAAGTCAGCCACCTACATCACGGTGGGGGGGGGCGTTTTTTCCCTCCCCAGGCTCCAGAGGCTTTCCTCAAACCTCCGGGAGGACGAAAATGGCCTCCCCAGACTCCGGAGGCCCTCTGGAGGCCAGAAACAGGCCCAATCATCTGGTAGGCCCATTTTTCACCCTCCCCGAGCCTCTGTACGTGCCCTGCACTTACCTGCATCCAAAACGGGCCGTGTGGGGACACCTGGGAGGAGAGGGGCGGGTTGGGTGGGGCCAGCCAGGAGTGGGATTTGGGGGTTCTCCAAACTGCACATAATCTTAGCTAGAGGTTCTCCCGAACCCCTGCGAACCTCCAGCAGCCCACCCCTGCAGCTGCACCTTCAGAGTTCTGAATGGCAGGGAAGGAAGGTTTTTTCTGTGTGTTAACTGACTGGCTAGCAGGCAATAACAGCAGTGAAGAAAGGGCAGCAGCAATTTTATTTACAGATGCTGAGCCAGGAAAACAGGTTGAACATGCAGGGTGGGACAATAACAGCCAGGAAAAGGGGTTTGTGGACTCAGGATGTCCTTACATCTCGCTGCACCGCTGCACCATCCTCATATTTCTCTGGCAAGGGTGGGAGTATGTATTTGCCAAGGTAAAATCTAGTTTCTGCATAGTTAGCTGCTGGTGAAGACATGTAATTTCACATGCAGCACAATATGGAGCTGCAGTGTGATTGTAATTTCTGTTCCTGACTGGCTGAGCTGCTGAACATAGAGTACATTTTGTGCCATGCAAGAGACAAAAAGAATCAGCACCCTTCCTACCCTCAAATTAATAAATCAATATAGTAAGCTGGTTCAAAGCCCCCTATATAAAAGTCTTTCTAATTTTACATCTTTCTTATAATTTTTACACCCTGGTTGAAAGCTGTATGTGTGCGAAATCAATCTGTCCTCCAGCTTTATATTTGAAAACTAAAATACAAAAAAAAAACAAAAAAAAAAACCCCTCAATTCCCTGGAGGGTGGTTTTTTTAAAAAAAAAAGACAGGATACTGAGAAGATGAGCAAGCTGGAACAAATGAGTTTTATTCCTGCTAATTGCCTGGGACCCTTTTTTCTGAATATCAAAGTTCTTACATAGATAGATACACAGAGCAATTGCACAATGGAAATTCCATTTCAGGTTTACATCCAACCTCTCTCTTTCATAAAGTATGGGTTTACATAATGCTTGATTTTCATTGTACAATTTTCTTACATTTTCTACATTACAATATCCATAATGTTAGAAGGGCAACTTTGAACTTTGAAAGAAGAAAGACAGAAGATGACACTGATTTGCATATGCTGATATTTTTCGCTGATTCCAGCAACCAATATGCCAATTGAGTCCCTTGTTCAGATTATTATTAGTTCTGGTTTAGAGAAAGTGCTCCTTGTTTCAGTGACGAAATGTAAAATTTGTTACTACCAGTTCTGTGGGGGTGGCTTGGTGGTGGTGGGGGGTTAATGTGACTGAGTGGGTGTGGCCAATTTTTTACTTTTTTTTTTACTCTTTTTTTTACTTTTTTTTTTTACTTTTAAAACCATTTTTTCTACAGGGATTTTTGCTACCAGTTCTCTGAACCACCTGCCGCCATCACTACCAGATCGGGCGATCCTGTCTGAACTGGAAGCATTTCACCCCTGCTTGTTTCCATCCAGGATGTTTTTAGTTTTTAACCTAGTTCTTCTGTTTTTTTTCTCCACAGTAACAGCATCAGATGCTAGATGATTGTGCTAAAATCAGAGTTTGCTAGATTCTGGGGTTCCCTTAGAGTACCATGATTTTGGATTAGAAGAATGGGTTGTGAATTCAGTAGAAATGTCATGTTCTTTTAATAACAAGTATGGAATCGTCAGCTGAAACTTTTGACCATAAAGAAACCAATCTTGTTAAACTACCAAGTCTGGGATTATAAAGATGGCAGAACTTTTGAAATGGTGAAACTGAACTGTTTAATCAGGCGGAAAGCAACAAATACTTTTATAAAGGTTGGAAACATCTCATGGTCTTTTGCTGAAAATGGAACAAAATGAATGGGTGAGTGAGAAGATATGAATGAGATGGCTTGGATTCTGTATAAATGGTGTTACGGGAGATGAGTGGTTAACATTCCTCAATGTTATCTGGATTTCATTTTGACTTGTTGGTTCCAAGGAAGAAGATAATGCAATGATGTCTATCTCATGTAGGCTAAATCCATGTCTCACCTGGCTCCGTTGGAAAACACAAGAATTGGGGATGAATGTCTCAATCTGTGAGATGGTCTACACCATCTCAGGATAGGAGAAACCTTGCAGAAGATGGTTGAATATCTCTTCTAAATGAGAACTTCTTCCTGTATCCAATTAATTAGGCAACTGTTGCCCAGTCTTTAACCTTCCCCATTTAGAAAAGGCTTTTTGGAAAAAAGAGGAAAGAATTGCCCTCTGGCAAGATGGCCCAGAATTTAATTAATTAATTAATTGTAGAAGTATAACTACAGAATCCTGATGAAGAGAAAACAAATTATTTAAACCCCTTTCAGTCAGACCTGGATATTCAACTAGAATTGCAATGGTCACCCTATGGATGATCTCTGTCAGGAACCTGATGGGACAATGTACCTCTCCTGGTCCTTTTTTAGCTTTCATATCACCAAATATGGTGTCCTTTAGAATGTCTATGAAAATTAGAAATTAAGGACACTGTTTTGCAGTGGTTTCTTTCCTTCCTGAATAAGTGATAGCAGTTGTAAAAGGAGGATGTCAATCTCATTGGACAGATTAGACCATGAAATCAACTTCATAGGATGACTAAAGCAGATTTTATTGAGCATGGTTATTATAACAGAATCTTACAAGTCGGACTGTTCTGATTTTGATAAATAAAATGTTTTCACCACTTAAGGAAAACTGCAGTAAAAATATTCAGTAAATAAATTGGCACTAATTAATCAACAGCTGTAGTTAACAGCTGTTTACTTTAAGCAAAATCACACTGCATCATGCAGGCACAAAATCTCAAAAGTCTGAGAGTCAGGTTCTGAAGACAATGTTCCCCTTGCAGGTCAGAGACATATTGCTATTGCCTCTGGCTAACTCTGTCTTATAGAGTATTCCATCAGAAAAGTTCCACGTTGTTCCAACAATTCAAACAACCAACTCGCCACAGCCAACTTGCCATGGCCAACTTGCCATGGGACAAGAGTTACACTAATATCGAAGAAATAGTCCGATAGAATCTTTAAAGAAAGGATACAAAGGAGGGACAAAATAAAATGTGAATGACAAAAATTAAAAATTAAATTATTTTAAAAATTATTTTAAATAATTAAATTGAATTGTCCTGCAGTGAGTTGCCCTGTGGCAAGTTGTCCCATGGCAAGTTGTCCCATGGCGAGTCGGCCGTGGAGAGTTGGCTGCATCCCATTCTGGCCTAGATGGTATCGAGAATAGCAGTTTTTGTAAAGTGTCTTTTAGTGTGTAAACCGTAGACACAGCAAACCCAATTAGAAACAGAGTAGGATTCCTGGCCTTCTGTGCCTCTTCACTTTTCTCTCTGCCAGCTTTGTTTTGTTTATCTAACATATTGCAATCGTCTGGCAGAGTCTGTGCAGCACTAGGTTACACATAGCCTTACATAAAAAGGCAGTTGCTGCCAAATGTACTGTTTATATCCCTTTTGAATACCAGGATCAAATGTTTGTGTTCTTCCCTCCAGGAGCCCTGGGCTCAGGGACAATGGTGCATGGTTGCTGGGAAAATGCTGGTCGTTAGGGAGAACCCTGAGACGGCTCTGTTAGCTGTCTCTCCCAGCATGATTTACACTCTTCGATTCAGTGTGTCCATTTGATTCCCAGCAGGTCCATCAGACTTCTCGCCTGAAAAAAAAATAGTCTGGATCCATCTAGGGTTGCACAGCTCTGCAGGCCTCCCCATCCAGCATAGAACATTTTTTCTCCCTTTTTAGACAAAAGTGAGGCCAGGGCACTTCCCTGCTGCCATTGCGTTGCACCCTGCGAAGCATAAAGGACACACACAAACTGTGCTGTTCTTGGGTTAATCTTCCCTGTCAGCAGCACATCATTTACACTTCATCAGTTTCAGGCAGTCGTAAATGTGTTTGGAAATCTTGGCCCAGGAAGCATAAAGTAATGCACTCTTTATAAAGCAGCATTCTTAAGACGTGTACTGTCAGAGGGAGACCTTCCAGGGTAGAACCTGATGCTGCAACCTACTACGGTTTGAGACAGTAAATTGACTGTTGCTGTTACTACTGCAAAGTTGACTTTCTATGGAAGTGAAGGTAAAATTTGAAGAAGTGGGATAAAAAAAGTTATTGATGCTTTTGGGAATACCATGGGAATATCATGAAAAGAAACAAACACAAAGGTCAAGAAAAGAATGAAAAGAATAACCAAATAAATCAGCCCAGAATTCTTGCCTGAGACACTATGGACCACACTCAAACTATCCTATTCTGGATACATTATGTAAAGAGCTACAGAAGCTCTCTAGAGAAATCTACAATACCAGAAAAAGTAAAAGGAAAGAGAGGAAGCGGTCCACCAGATTAAAGTGGATGGATTCCATTATAACAGCAATGGATGCACTGTTGGAAAACTGAATCCCTGTAAGAAGAGATCTGGTTGGTTGGTTGCTCCAGTGATGACTCCAGAAAGGAAAGCAGGAAACCCTCTGAAAAGCAGCTCCATGATTTGGGGATACTGTTAGAATTATGATTACTACCATAACTCTGATCTGAAGGACAATGCTGGAGACAAAACATTGTGGAGAAAATCTATCTATATAGTAAATAAGAATCGGCACTGATTTGGTAACAGTCAAGTCGATCATTATAAGACTAGAACTGTGTCTCCTGATAATAACCACAAAATGTCATTTAGAACAACTCTGCTTGAAGAATTTTTGAACGTTTACCTATTGCTTGGTTATGCAAGCTATTTCTGGGCTGCAAAACTCCAGCTGACCAAAAGGTAGCAGCAACCACTTAGTAAAGTAAAATCTTCCATAATGCAAGTTTCACTTCTATACTTTTCTTGGGAGCAATTTCAAAATAATTGTTCAGTACCTTGTCCTGGGTTTTTATTGTTGTTGTTGTCATTTCCCAGGCTAGCCAGCAGTCCCATTTCCCAATGAAGTCAGATCAAAACTATGGCCTGATATAACCCAGTTTAGGTTCTGAGCCCATTCAATAGGCAGGTGCTGCTACCTGCTGAGATTAGGTATAATAAGCCTCAGAAAATGGAATCAAACCTGCTGATTGCCTCCTTTTGAAATAATTATCGTATTTTCTAGCTCTTAGGTTTTCAAGCGCTTACAAATTTGAGGATGGAGGTAATGAAAAACATGAAATCTGCTGTTCCAGATTATTCTCTCTTATCACAAATGCTCAGAAGCATTTCTATATAGATGCATATGTGTATAAAGAATCTCATTCTGTCTACTTGCTCACAATCCAGTAGTGATATGCCTTTTAAGTATGACAACATATACATCTCATACAAGTAATGGCAAAAACAACAGCTCTGAGTCAGGTCCTCCCTCGTATAGGATAACATGTTCTCAGCTTATTGTAGACACTTGCAGGCAATGAAAAATAAGATCACACTTGGAATATTGCATCCAGTTTGCTCGCCACAATAGAAGAAAAGATGACGATATTCTAGAAAGAGTGCAGAGAACAGCAACAAAGATGATTAGGAGACTGGAGGCTGATCTTAAGTCCTAGTGGACAATCACTTAAATATGAGCCAGGAGTGTGCTGCAGCTGCCAAAAAAAGCCAACACAGTCCTAGGCTGCATTAATAGAGGGATAAAATCAAGATCGCATGAAGTATTAATACCACTTTATAGTGCCTTGATAAGATCACACTTGGAATATTGCATCCAGTTTTGGTCACCACAATATAAAAAAGACATTGGGATTTTAGAAAGAGTGCAGAGAAGAGCACAAGGATGATTAGGGACTGGAGGCTGAAACATGAAGAATGGTTGCAGGAATTGTGTATGTCTAGTTTAATGAAAAGAAGGCCTACAGGTGATATGATAGCAGTTTTCCCAATACCTGTCTAAAAGAAAAGGGGGGTCAACTTATTCCCCAAAGCACCTGAAGGCAGGACAAGAAGCAATGAATGGAAACTTGTCAAGGACAGAACCAACCTAGAACTTAAGGAGAAATTTCCTGACAGCTAGAACAATTAATCAATGGAGTTACTTGCTTCCAGAAGTTGTGTGTGCTCCAACACTGGAGGTTTTAAGAAAAGACTGGGCAACCATTTGTCTAAAATGTTATAGGGTTTCCTGCTTAAGCAGGGAGTTGGACTTGAAGATTTCCAAGGTGCCTTCCAATTCTGTTATTTTCCAAGATCACCTAAAAACTATAAAATTCAGCAATTAAAATGTTTAGCAGCTTTTTATTTGTTCCTAAGGGGCTTTATCCTTTGTATGTATTTTTGCAGCACCAAATTTGATGTCTTCCATCCTCAAACTCAGTAAGAGCTTGAAATTTTGGAGCTAAAAAAATCCTGCAATTATTATTTCAAGAGAATACAATCAGTAGGCTTGATTGGTTTCATATATTAAGTCATGGTCTGTTTTAGCTGTGATTTATTGAACAATCCACAGTCAGTTGAGTTCATATAATATGCTAAGCTATAAAAATAATTTAAATGTTTCAATTCACATAAAATTGAAAAATTAAAATTATATAAAGCACAATTACTGTATGGCGTATAAATATTGAATGTCTTTTTTTTGCCATTTCTGTACTGGGGATTTTAATCCTATCATTCTGTTTTGGTCAAAAAAGCAGGAATCTAGTAGCACTTTTTCCACCTAAAGTATTTTATCAAAAGTTGAAATTAAAACTGACTTCATCAGATGCAACTCATGAAAGTTTATGCCTTTTATTACAATTTGCTAGTCATAAAAGATGCTACCAAACTCCTGGTTTTCTGCCACTGTAGATTATAATGAATCTCTTTCATTATCATTGTCATTGGGAAGGACCAGTTTTTCAAAGAGCTGAGCCCATGTCATCTTGCCCATTTCCCATCTCAGGAAAACTGGGTGTGGAAAAGAACTGGAGTGGCCAGGAACACAAAGCTTCATCCAACAGGACTTGAGAGATGAAGGCTGGCTGATGTATGAATTGTCCTTTTTTATCCTGGGATCTTTTAGGTTAAGTAGCATGAGCCATTGCAACCAATGAGGGACAAAATTGTGTAGCACAGCAACAAGAGGAATAAAGTTAGGTCTGCTAAAATTGTCAGGGTGCTAATTAATCCCATTCTGCTTTTGGGTAATTGCACCTTGATTTAGAGAAGTGGATCGAGGCTTTTCCCTTGAAGCATACTTTAAGAAAAAAAACCCGAAGATATATTTTCTAAGAAAAACTCATTTATTTGTTATAAAGAAAATAAAACATCTCACTAGCTAATTAGTTACATCTTGGCAACGTTTTCCCCGGCCAGCTCTCCTGGCTGGACCTCTTGGCAGGAGAACAAAGAAAGATGAAGAAAGTGAAAGAATGTAGACATGCGCAGTTAGCTTACTGATAAGAACTTGGCAAGCTACGGTAAGTCTTAGAGTTCAAAAATAAGAGCTCATCTGGTAAATACAAAAACGCAGTGACAAAAATGTCCCAGGAAAAAAAGCAAGGAGTCTCTATGGCCTGGTGTTTTTAGTAGCGCCCTTGTTTTTCTTACTCCAAAGAGAATTGCTGTAAATTTAACCAGTTGCCATCATTAAAAATGATCACCAAGTGTCCCTGGCACTTTCTCCCTTTTCTCCTTGTACAGCTGCTATAAAGCTGGACATCAATTTTGTCCTACCATACAGGGGAGAAGTGCATTATTGCAGTTTAGATGCAGAATCTGTTCCAAAGGTTTCCCTTCCCAGAAGCTGTTAAGAGAACAGCTGCTGTCTCTCTGCATCAGAAACTGGCACCCCTGTCAACATATATTAAAATTAGCACAATAATTCTAGACAAGAACCGAAACTCTTGGGAGGCATTTAGAAAGTGCTCACCCTTCCTTTGTTTTCCATTGTAATTGCAATCTGCATTCTTCCTCTACAGAAAGCAAGCCGCTCATCCTTCTCTTCTTCGCTGATATCTGGGGCCTCTGCTGGATTCCCAGGATCCTCAGATCCCCATTTTTCTCGGACAACCCGCTTTCCCTACAAAGGGACGAATGAGAATTACATATTCTTCCCGACAGACAAATCCGCGCTCCGATTCGCATCGCTTGTAATCCATGTAAAGTGTGGTGGCTTAGAAAATGAGCTTGACTTTGGTGCCAAGCATAAGTAGAAGTATCACCCTTTCTTTCCACTTGGAGAGATTCTGATCGAAAGCTCAGTCACAATAAACGAGGAGAGGGAAAAAATCCCTGATAAACTCAAGAGGTTTATCTATAAATCTATAACAAATATGTGGTGGTGTTAGGACACTGTCACTTTGGGAGGTCCACCTTTTATTAAGGGTACTTTGTTTTGGGCAGCTGCCTATCAACAATAAATTGAGCAGCTTGGATTTAATATTTGTTACAATATTCTCTAATAGACTAAAATTGTATATTGCACAGATGGAAAGGCAGATTTGGGAGTTTGTCATCTACTTTGTTTTACTAAAATTCTGAGGTTTATGAACTTCTGCTGGGTGCCAAAGAATAACTTAGGAAAATGGATATGAGGCTGTAAAATAAAATAGAATGCTAAAGCCAGGAATCTGATTTCTGTATCACAGTTTGCCACAACTAATTCTCCACAGAAATCTATTCTCTCTAATCAGCCTAGGGCAGATCTTTCATTTTTGCTGTTAAGTCAAGAAGCTAGAAACCCTTTTTGATCTCACAAATGAAGTTAAATATACATGTTCAGGGACAGGGGTGGGTTCTAAATTTTTTTACTACTGGTTCTGTGGGTGTGGCTTATTTTGTGGACGTGACTTGATGATCATATGACAATTCTTTAGGATTTAGCAGAGGTACTGGTCTAACAGGCTTTTAACTGCTTGCAGAGCTGTACCAGACTACTCATTTGTTTTTGGAGGCATTGGTCTACCCATTTATTTTTGCAAGCACTGGTATTTTTGCAGGCATTGGTCTACCCATTTATTTTTGCAGGCACCAGTCTACCCATTTATTTTTGCAGGCACTAGTCTACCCATTTATTTTTGCAGGCGCCGGTCTACTCATTTGTTTTCTTTTAACACTGTTCAGCTGTAGGGCGGCCCCTTGAAGCCCCGCAGCAAGAGTTTAAACAGTTTTTTTCCCACTAGCCAATAGCTGGGACTCAGGAGGCAGCAATAGATTGGGGGTGGGGCCAAATAAACGGTAAGAATAATGCATTGGGGGTGGGGGCGGGTAGGGGAGGCAGAACCGGTTCGGTGACGTAATATCATCACCGCTACCGGCTCGGCAGAACCGGGCTGAACCGGGAGGAACCCACCACTGTCCAGGGATAATGTTGCAGGATCCAATCTAAGTGGTCACCAGGATAAGAGCTTTAATCTTCCGAGCTTTTGGACTCGTGTTGGAGCCCATCCTGAGGGAACTTCTGTCTCACCAGAATGTGCATGAGAGAAGTTTACATTCAGGTGAGAGATAAGTTCCCTCAGGATGGGCTCCAGCATCAATCCGAAAACTCAGAAGACTAAACCTCTGATCCTAGTGACCTACCCAAATTGGATCCTATTTGTTCTAATGAAAAAATTACTAATAGATCCTAATTTACAGTATTTTGTTGTTGTTGTTAGTTGAGAAGTTGTGTCCAACCCATCGCGACCCCATGGACAACGTTCCTCCAGGCCTTCCTGTCCTCTACTATTCTCTGGAGTCCATTTAAGCTGATGCCTACTACTTCAATGACTCCATCCAGCCACCTCATTCTACAGTATACCTTCCTCCACTGAATAAGTGGAATATTCTCACATAAAGGTCACCACCAATAGGTTATTATCAATAATAATTATAGTATCCTTAATAATTATATAGATTCCATTAAAAGCATTTGAATAAATGGTGTATACATTATGACTCAATTTCATTGTTATAAAGTTTGTTGGGTCATGTTCTAAATTGTGTTGGGAAATCAGATTTAAAACTTGTTGAAATAAGAAGCTTGGGTGAATCTTTCTTAGCAGAAATGCTGAAAAACTAAATGAAAGTATACAGAAGGATGCTAAATCTGCTTAGATATCAAACTCATTGGAGGTCTTAGATGTAGAAAGTAAGGAATGTGATCTTGACAGAAATACTTTATGCAAGAAACATTACCCAGACTAGGTTAGATTAGGTGAGGTTAGAACAATGAGATAACATTTGGAAGCACCCTCCTTAATTCATTGGAGCAAAACAAGGGAGAGGAGGTACAGTCCAGAGGTGGGTTTCAGCAGGTTCTGACCAGTTCTGGAGAACTGGTAGCAGAAATTTTGAGTAGTTCGGAGAACTGGTAGTAAAAATTCTGACTGGCCCCGCCCCCATCTATTCACTGCCTCCCGAGTCCCAGCTGATTGGGGATTTTGCAGTGACCTTCCCCGGGAGTGGAGTGGGAATGGAGATTTTACAGTATCCTTCCCCTGCCATGCCCACCAAGCCACGCCCACCAAGCCATGCCATGCCCACCAAGCCACACCCACAGAACCGTAGTAAAAAAATTGAAACCCACCACTGGTACAATCAATCAAACTTGCAAGATTCTGTTATTGTAACTAATCTCAGTAAAAGTAGTCTTACCCTTCCTGTCAAATTGATTTCCAGGTCTGATTTACCTGGAGGCTGACACTGGGTAATATATTTCCAATAATCCTGTGCATATTTCCTTAGAAGCAGGTCTTTCTATGAGCAGCAGAATGTACTTCCAGAAAGCTAAATTATCTATAATTTAGATTTATAAAGGTCACCCGGAGTCTCTGCTGACCTGGGTAAACCATTTTAAATATAATAAAACAAAGTGATTTTGTGCTATATGTGATTAATACTTGGATATGAGCAATATAAAAATACTACAACTGCTTTTATTTGGTGGCTTTTAGTTAATGTCAATGATTGGCAAGATTTTGAGAGTGGTTTGACATTACCTGCTTCCTAGGACTGAGAGAGACAGACTGAATGGCACAAGGTTAGCCAGCTGGTTTTGTGCTAAGGCAGGACTGGAATTGGTTTAGTCTGACTCTCTACTACAAGTCCTAGAACCTTTTTATCCATTCTTGTGGTACAATGGAATTTACAAGGAGTCTCCCTTCATTTTATCCCAAGTAAAGGATGTTGAGCAGAGAAATAATGGTGGGTTAAAAGTCACCCAATAAGCTCCATAGTTGAGTGAGGACTTGAATATAGTCTTCTTGGTGTAGTCCTCCTCAACCACTATTGTTTAAACAAAGTATAATGTATTAATCAAAGGTCATGCAGGGATGGAAAGCCTTTTTTCTAAGTTTGATGAGATTTGCAGTTATATTTCACGTGATTCACAGTGCCCAGAACAGTGGTGGGTTGCTATCAGTTTGCCCCGGATCAAGCGAACCTCTAGCGATGATGGGAGGCTCCGCCCACCCACTCGGACATCTCTGCACATGTGCAGAAGCGTCGTGCACGAGCACAAGCACACCCACGAGCAAACTGGTAGTGGCCGAAATTGAAACCCACTACTGGCCTAGATCCATACCTTTTCCCCTCAGTCCTGGTTACCATACAATATGCTGCCAAGAGTTGGCCAAATAGAGGCATGAACTGGGAGGTGGATATGAATGAGGTGATCTGGGGATTAAGTAGATAAAGAAGTATGTATTCCAGTATGCCTTTAGTACTGATTTAGCTAGCGGATAACCAATGTGTTTAGGAATCATGTTGTTGATTATTATTTTCATTTTTTATTTTTATTGTATAATTCCCAGAGTCACAAGCACTGTAATAATTAAATAAAGTTGAGTAGGTAATTAATCTAGTATGATACAGTATATCTATGAATGGAAATTAATTCCCAGGTGATAGCTACTAAAGAAAAGCAGGCATTGTTAAAGTATTTATAGCATAATCTAATGTGTTAATATCTATTCTTGAATTTGTGATGCTGCTGAAACACATACAAAGAAATCTGTAATAGCTTTTTTTTTTTTTTTACTGAATACATAAGATCTTTAAAATTAACACAAAATCCGAGAGAACTGAAAAAACAGGGGAAAATACTAAAGGCAAGTGGGCAGAGTTTTGTTTGTAGGAAAGCAAGCAACAGATCTTTTCCCAACTACTTTATTGCAATGCCATCTCTAAAGATTCAACAGTTATTTATTTATTTATTTTTAGACCCACCTTGCCTTTGTTGTCCATGGTCACGGCCAACTGAACCCGTTTCCCCATCCTGAATGTGAAGACGTGATCACTTTCTTCATCGTCTTCCTCACTACCAACCCCAAAGCTTGAGGCAGAAGAGCAACTGCTTCCCCACTTCTCGTTCACAATCCTTTTCTCCTGTAAATGGAAGGGAGGTGATTACAAAAATTAGGAGCGCTACTATTTTTCACTTTTTAAATTTTTTTTTACTGAAATATGGACTTATCTAAGAAAATTCTGCCCCAACATTCTCTTTGCCAGTAATATAAACACTGGGGGGGGGTTGGGTTTAGATTGAAGAACAGCCCCAAATCTGAAAAAATAAATAACAAAATGATACCACATGTGTATCAATGCAAAATCAAAGGCTGATGATGCTAAATGTGTTAGAGTGATAAGGAAATAAATTGAATTGTGGCCATTCAGTTGCGTGGAATGGATTGTATAGCCTATTGAGTTGTTTCAGAAAACCATGAGCCTTGGTAACGCAGTGGTTAGAATGCAGTATTGCAGGCTAATTCTGCTGACTGCCAGGAGTTCGATCCTCACCGGCTCAAGGTTGACTCAAACTTTCATCTTTCCGAAATCAGTAAAATAAGAACTCAGATTGTTGGGGGCAATATGATGACTCTGGAAACCACTTAGAGAGGGCTCTAAAGTGAAGCGGTATATAAGTCTAAGTGCTATTGCTATCATCACCATGACTGTGGTGAACTACCAGGCAAGTGAGTGAATAAATAAATACATAAATAAACTGAAGAAATAAATAAGGCAGTAGAAAGGATAGAGTTTTATAAAGTTTAACTAAAGGATTTGAAACCATATTAAGAGAGCAGTGGTTAGAATGCAGTATTGCAGGCTAATTCTACCGACTGCTAGGAATTTGACCCCGACTGGTTCAAGGTTGACTCAGCCTTCCATCCTTTCAAGTCAGTAAAATGAGGACCCAGATTGTTAGGGGCAATATGCTGACACTGTAAACCGCTTAGAGAGGGTTGTAAAGCAATGTGAAGTTTAAGTGCTACTGCTATTTAAATGTGTTGTGTAATTTGAAAGCCTTTCCCTAGTGGGGACAAGTCTAAAGTATAATTAGTGGAGACAATATGTATGTCTTTGCATTTACTTTGCAGGTTTTCTTATACTGTAACATTCTATTAGCCTAGGGAAGAAGGTCTAAATAATTATCAGGACTGCAGTAGCTCTGGAGATAGTTTAGAATCACAGTTCCAGGGTTAGAAGGAGCTCAATCTCCTGTTCAGGCAGGAACCCAATTGAAAGAGTCCTGAGAGATGGCGGCCCTACTCCTGCTTGAACACATCTGGAAAAGAAGATCTCACCACCTCATTAAATATTTCATTCTCCTATCAACTTGCTGTTAGTGGTAGGTCATTTTGATAGGTCACCCCCCTTTTTGTAATTTAAGGTTACAAAAAATGTTACTCTGGGGCTATGGAATTCAGACATGTCCATCTGTATGATGCCCCTTCAGATATTTGTAATGTGCCATCATAGACCTTCTCAGTCATCTGTCTTCAGATTAAGCATATCCAGTTATCTTCTTTCCTCCATGCTGGTCCATGATCTTATGCAGAAGATGAGAAAGGAGAATTATGTGCTCCTATTGCTATTATATTAAAAAAAAAAATCCTAAGAGACTGACCTAAAACTTGCTGCTTTATATGTTTCTTATTACAATATAAACTGCCCACAACCTGGTGCTCTGTTGTTCTACAAATTCTTCCATCTCTATTTAAAAGAAATATCAAGTCATCCCCAACTACTGGTAGCTTCATATACACATCGATATAGTTTCCTTGGCAGCATTACAAGAGAAACTTTCCATTGTCTGATTCTGTAATGTTTTTCCTACTTTCTACCCTGTTTCTCTCCCAAGAGCAACATGGTTATTCATGTTTGCCCACCTTCTCAGGCCAGTTTCTTCTATCTTTACATACAGTATATGGAAACTGATGAAGTATGATAGAAATAGTAATCCATCACACATAGCAGGCACTAGATTGGGAAATGTGAGAAAGTAAAGTTGGGATTGCTGACTATGCTTTGGAAAAGCAGCTGCAGCCACCACAAATACATTCTTTGCACTTCCCACATTCATCCAGATGTTCACTCCTACATTTTCTCAGGAGTATTCCAGCTGTCTGGCTAATTGAGCCACACCCTGATGTTTTCAAGGATGTACTGATGTCCAGAGGCAGCCTCACCCCATCCAGTCTTTTGACTTTACAAAAGCAAATGCTAAGACAAAATAGAAAAAGGGGTGTGTGTAGCAGAAAAGGTAAAAACAAACAACCTACAGATGAAGAAGTGGGGGAGACATATGTAGATTGGCAGCTATTTACAAGCTGGCAAGAAGTCTTGCATTCAACAACCAGGATCATAGGCTAGTGGGAGTCCAGCTTGGAGCCCAGCAGTAACTAGAAAAGGAGCAACTACACTGAAACATCACCACATCCCAACAGTGCAAGAATGTTTGGAAAAAGGCAAAGGTTGCCTGTTACTAAAATAATCTAATATAGCTAGAATCTCCTATACTATTCCAACATTTCTTTTTCAGCAGAAAAGGGAGAGTATGTTTACATGATGTGGTTTGGTGATGGTGATGGTAAGGCCATCTGGCCTAGCCTTCCTTGAAGTGACAGCCATTCCTTCTCGTTCTGCTTGTTTCTTGTCTTCTTCTATTTCCTGAAAAAGTGACATTTAAAAATTTTACCAGGTCAGCTGCCAACAGTAAAGCAAGTGAACATTAGAAACAGCGTTGTCAAGGGAGAAACATAAAGAAGCTTTAAGAAATTATACGTTCCCCACAAAGAGTTATTGCTGTCGTTAAATATACATACACACCAAGGCTTTGCTACTGTATTATCTCATGTGCTTGGATGTAAAAATCACAAAAATCTGTATTTGCACAACCATGCTCAGCTAAAACGTGGCTACTTAGCTACTTTGTAGTTCAGTGTATTGGTGATCTGTATTTGTGGGCCCTGGGCATGCTATTATCTCTATAACATGGCATTTGGATAATTTGTGTGGCTGGTGGAACATCTACCTTGGCCCTGAAACAATAGACTTACAGCTATATATTCCGGAGATTCTTCTAATGGGATTAGGCCAGTAGACTATTGTTAGCTTTGCTTTTACACAACTGCTTATAGGTTCCAGCAAAACTCACATTAATTTAGTTTCATTTCCCCCATATTGTCATTGGTTGAATATCCTGGATCTTCAGGACCACTCTCTACCCCAATTTTTAGACTCTGCCTTCCACATTAATAAACCGGCACTATTCACTTCTCAACATGGCACAACCTAGCCAATCACAGTTAATCAGCATGTTGTGCAGACATACTTCATGTTTTTTGTTCATGGATCAGTATATTGCCTGAATCTAGAAAAAGGGCTTAATGAATAAACCATAGTCAAAATATCAATGGATAAGTATGCTATCCATATACAGCCAATTTTAAGGAATTCACAGAGCAACCCTTGAGCAGCAAGGGTGTGCACATGAAAGCGATTGAGAGCAGTTGCGAATAAACAAAGCCAACACACAGATACACTGAGTTGTGTTTACTTTTCAGGAAATAGTAATAAGGCACAGTCCAATAAACAGTCCAGGTCATACACAGATAAAGCAGTAGATAGTAAAACAATAGTCCAGGGATAATTCAATAACAAAGTCTTTTTACCAGTCGTTGTAGTCATACACAATAAACAGTTGCAGACAGTAGCAAACACAGCAAAAAGCAGTAACGAGCAGTAATGTTCAGCAAAGAGGAATAATGGTCAGCAAAGAGAAACAATAATGGTCAGCAAAGAGAAACTAACCATGTTTCAAGCTCCCTCTTAAGAACATCGGCTACAGAGCTAACCAATCAGGACAAACCAATCCTACACCACTTCAAGCAAATGGTTATCCAATCTCTTCTTTAAAACTTCCAGTGTTGGAGTATTTACAATTTCTGGAGGCAAGTTATTCCACTGATTAATTGTTCTAAATTGTTCTATTTCCTGAAGATAACTTTACAGCAATTAAGAGTTGACGTTACGAAGGATAAGGCAGTAGCAGAGGAACCTGTGAATCTGTTTGCTTTGGTTCTTTAAAATGTGATTCTTATATACTTTTAATATTTTTTCAGTTCTATTGTAAAGAACTGTTGTTTTAAAAAGGTAATTTGAAATTCCAATCCCAGTAGTAACTATGCTGCCACCAACTGAGCTGTAAAGTATTTGTGGTAATTAAACAGATACAGCTTTCAAATCAACCTGTTATAAATTGAATCAAAGGTTTAACTAAAGGATTTGAAACCACATTATGAGCGCAGTGGTTAGACTGCAGTATTGCAGGCTAATTCTGCTGAATGCTAGGAGTTCGATCCTGACTGGCTCAAGGTTGACTCAGCCTTTCATCCTTCCAAGGTGGGTAAAATGAGGACCCAGATTGTTGCAGGCAATAATCTGACTTTGTAAACTGCTTAGAGAGGACTGTAAAGCACTGTGAAGTGGTATATAAGTCTAAGTGCTTAGTGCTACAGTATATTAAGCAACACCATTAGAAAGGAGAAGCTAGAGTTCATACATACTTGATATCTTCTCATAAGAGCTTCATTCTTCTTCCTCAAAGCCAGAATTTTTTTATCCAGTTCAACATCTTTTTCTTCTTTTTTCTGCAACACTGCATCATCCATAGCAACATCCTAAAATACAAAGAGAATCTTTAGTGGCATTCCACTAATGGCCAATAACACAGAATATTATTTATTCTGTTTGCCATTATATGACCAGTGTGATATCTTTCATTCTACTGAGGCCATGTCAATAGCAAGTACGTGTTAGTACTTCAGTAATTCATTCTGAACAAAATTAAACCTTGTTTTTTTTAAAAAAAAAACATGTATAAAAGTACCATTATAGAAGAAAACTTCCATTGCTGTCCCCCAGCAGCATTGTAACTACAAGTAATCCTCGACTTACAGCCACAATTGAGCCCCAAATTTCTGTTGTTAAGTGAGACATTTGTTAAGTGAGTTTTGCCCCATTTTACTACCTTTAAGGCTACAATTGTTAAATAAATCACTGCAGTTGATAAGTTAGGTGGATATGGCTTCCCCATTGATTTTGTTTGTCAAAAGTCACAAGAAATGATCACATGACCTTGGGACACAAGTAATAAATATGAATCGGTTGCAAAGCATCTGAATTTTGATCACATGATCCTGGGGATGCTTCAAAGGTCATAATTGAAAAACAGTCATGTCACTTTTTTTCAGTGCCATTGTAATTTTGAACGGACACTAAATAAACTGTTGTAAGTTGAGGACTACCTGTAATGATAGGGTTAACTCCAACCAGTAGTGGGTTTCTACCAGTTCGGACCAGTTCGGGCAAACCATTAGTTCTGATCTTCAGCCGTGACCGAACCGGTTCTCTCATTCTTTGAAGTGGGCCCGCCTGCCTCTGCATTATACTCACCTATATTTCTGCTTCCAAAGCGGCAGCAGAGTGGATTGCCACTCCTCAGCTGTTTTCCTTGCTCTCAGCAACGCGGAAGTTCAATTTTCTGAAAATTGTGCACATGCGCTCAGCGCCCGTTCAGCAAACCAGTTGTTAAACCAGTAGGAACCCACCCGTGACTCCAACAGATATAATTCTTTGACAGACCTGAATAAGTTGTTAGCTGCTGAAGATGTTATCAGTGGCCAAATGGTATTATGGAGATGTTATAGGTTCTTCTTGGGGGTTACTTAAAAACTGTGAGCCCTGACACAAAAATCTTACAGGACAGCACAAGCAATGGTGCTGGTGCCATCCAGATGTGCCTTTCCCTCCTGATGTTTAGTAAGGCCATTAAAACAGACTTCATCCAACAGTTTTACAAACTGCTAAAGTACAGGTGAGATGGGGTTCTAGGCAAATGTCTTGGAAGATTTCAGGGCAATAATACTAAAGCTTTGGGGGATTTTGGATGAGAAGACTGAAATCTTGCAAGTTCTGGCAATCTCATAAAAGTGAATCAATTTTTAAATGACTGATTTGTTTATTCATTTTTGAGCCCTTATTCCACCATGTAAATTTACATGATGGTACCCACATCTGAAAAAAGATATCTAAATATAAATTCAGTTGCACTGGTGGAAAAGGGAATAGGGAGAGGTGAAAAAATTGAGGAGGAGAAGGGTCATATTAAAACCAAAAAACTAAAACAGGGTAAGGAAAAGTTCCCCAAACCCTATACAGGTTACATATTGGCGTTCAGTGGCTATAATAAATGTAAATAAACAAACAAATAATCTGGAACTTGTGTTCCTCGTACATCAGGTGGTCACCAGGTAGGAAATATAATGTACTGTTGACTTAAAAATTGCTAAAAAGAAAATCTCTGATTAAAAATATGAGTGATTAGCAGAAAAGGAATAGTGTAAAGGATTGTTTGGAATAAAAAAAAATTTAAACCTGCCCAAAGAATGTGCGTCAAACTGCTAAGCCCCTACTATGAAATGCACCTGTATTTCTAAAGCTGCTTATTAAATCCATCTTATCTCAGAGTAATTGTCTGGTAGTCACCTTAAATAAATGTTAGAGTGAAGAAATAAACAAGCATAAGAGATGGCCAGGAGATTTATGAAGCCAAATAGGTTACAGCCAGGTAGTCTTAGGGGCTGCAATGAGACCCTTTCTGATTTACAGAATTGTGGGAACATGATTGGTCAGTTCTGAAAATTTCACATCCATATTTTTCATTTAATTCTAAGCCTGGCTCTTAATAAAAAGATGCCTAAATTGATGGTGACAGAGTTTCAGCTTAATATGCAAATTTTATTTCTGCTGAATAATTTTCCCTGCAGGAGAGTGAAATACAAGGTTCTTTATTATCTTCCATCAAGCTTGCAAGAAGAGTGAATTGGTCACTTCTGCAAGCTGATGAATTTTCATGACCATTTTTCTGCAACTGCTTTAAACATGATTTGAATACTACTTGGTCAGATATTTTTAAAATCTATTGTATATTCATTATGTGGATAAGCTCCAGGCAATGTATCATAAAATGGGAAGCTGAGTATTAGCAATGTATATATGCAGAATGGAACTGAAGCAATGTTCATTGTGAAGGATGCTTTTTTAATGCCGCATAATGCAAAAATATAGGGTGGCCCAACCACATTCCATAAGAGTGAAAAATATTGTGACTGTGTGCAGAGGTAGTTATTAAAGTTATATAGAAAACAGTCTGTTACATATATAGGAAGGTCTTGGTATTTGTCTACAGTAGAGAGGATGTTCAATTTGCATGCTAATGCAGACTTACCTTATTTGAATTTTTGAAATCTATTCACAACCCTAGATGAAGCTAAAACCTGAAATCAACATTTCCCCTTAAGTTTTGCAAAGCAATTTCATAATTAGAAATCTACATGAAATGTATACACCATATAAGGACCAAATATAACAAAGATTGTAAAGAAAATGTGTATGAAATTCATTAAATTAAGGGAAATCATTTACAAAAGATGTGTATGTTAGAAAAACGCACCTTTTAGGAGACATTTATATGAAAATCTACATGAATTGCCATAAAGTATGAAGACTGGCCTAGTATGAATTTTTAAAATGGGTGTATGTGTGTTTTAATTCGTGGGCCAAATTTTTATATTCGATTTTAATTGGTTTTAAATTTTATAAATCTATGTGTTTTAATATGGCTGTACGCCGCCCTGAGTCCTTCGGGAGAAGGGCGGTATAGAAATCTAAAAAAAAAAAAAATTAAAAAGGTCTTTTTTTTTTTAGGGGTCATATGGGATGTAACAAGAAATGAGAAATTGAGCAAATTAAACCTCTGAGATTTCCTTATCTCTAATGATGACTGAGAATCAGTTGTGGTGGTAAAAGCATCTGGCTAGAAATTGGGAGGTTGGGAGTTCTAATTCCACTTTAGGCACAAAGCCAGCTGGATGACCTTAAGCCATTTACTCCCCCTCAGTCGTAGGAAAAAAGCAAGAGCAAGCCATTTCTGAAATCTTGCCAGAGGACAATTGAATTGAATAGAATACTGTATTGGCCAGGTGTGATTAGACACCCAAGGAAGTTGTGTGTCTAATCTTCGGGGATTTGTCTAATTGAAGGTGCCCACCTCCCCACTATCAAAAAACCAACGAGGACTAGTAATGGCTCTTTGGGGTTGAGTCCTGACTTGAAAGGATGGTGATTGAACTTGGTCTCTTAGACCTTGCCAAGATAACCGGCAAGGTCCTGTGTGGTCTCTATATAGTAGTCATTCCAATAGGAAATGCCACAAAGAATCTCCATAGACAGCCCTGATCTACCTTGCTGTGAACGTGTGGGTTATTTAGACTGCAAAAAGGAAGAAAAAGCCAAGAGTCAGGCTTTTCAAAAGTCATTAGGCTTTTTTTTTGTTAGGGGAAACTTAAATGCTAGTCAAACTTTGTTCCTACTAACAGTCAAGTGACTATGGGAATGGGACCAGTGGTGGGTTGCCCTCCACTGTTCGGACCGGTTCACAAGAACTGGTAGTAAAACCGGCAGGAGGCTCCATCCACTGACCTGGACATCATCATAGGTGATCTGTGCATGCACAGAAGCACGGGTGCAATGCGAACTGGTAGTAAAGGTAAGCAGAACCCCCCCCTGAATGGGACTATGGCAGTGGTGAAATCTAAAATTTGTTACTACTGGTTCTGTGGGCGTGGCTTGGTGTGGGGGGGGGTAATGTGACTGGGTGGGCGTGGCCAATTTTTTTTTTAACTTTTAAAACCATTTTTTCAACAACCTCTTCGGCAAAGAGGTTGTAAAAAAATGCCTTCAAAAGGCTCTGACGTTTTTCAGCTTGGATCAGGGTATAATCAGCTTGGATCATCAGAGGCATTTAAAAGAAAAAAAGTCTCTGCCGATCAGACAACTCAACTTGGATCGTCAGAGGCATTTAAAAGAAAAAAAGGGTTTTTTTTTTCTTTTAAAAGCCTTTGGTGATCCCAGTTCAGCTGCGCGATCATCAGAGGCTTTTTTTTTTTACTTTTAAAAGCATTTTTTCGGCCAAAGAGGTTGTAGAAAAAATGCTTTTAAAAGTAAAAAAAAAGCCTCTGATGATTGTGCGGCTCAGCTGGGCATGAAGGGGGGCAGGGATTTTGCTACCGGTTCTCCGAACCGCCTGCCTCCATCACTACCAGATCGGGCGATCCGGTCCAAACCAGGAGCATTTCACCCCTGGACTATGGGAAATACCCAAATTTGTTTCCAGCAGAAGTCATGGTAAAACTCATGGAATGTCATAGAATCGATGGGATTATCTTGGAAATACCCTTTATCTACTAAATCTACTCCTTTGACCAGTGTAGGAATTCATAATTCTTTTACATTCCTACCTATGAAAGTCATATATATTACTTCCAGTATTGGAGACCATATATTTTTTAATATTTGTTGAAGAACATAAGGAAAAGGCTGCTGCTGTGCTTATGCTTTGTTTGGGTTATTTTCTTAAATCCTGTTCATAGGATTCCTGCTGGTCTTTGAGACTATACAACACACAAACTAACTGCCAGAAAGAGCAGGTCACCTTCGCTGGATATGTTCAGGGACAGAGTCAGTGGTGGGTTTCAAAGATTTTTACGACCGGTTCTGAGTGTGGCATGGTGGGCATGGCATGGCTTGGTGGGAGTGGCTTGGTGGGCATGGCAGGGGAAGGATACTGTAAAATCTCCATTCCGACCCCAATCCAGGGGAAGGTTACTGCAAAATCCCCATTTCCTCCCAATCAGCTGGGACTTGGGAGGCAGAGAATAGATGGGGGTGGGGTCAGTCAGAATTTTTACTACCGGTTCTCCGAACTACTCAAAATTTCCGCTACCGGTTCTCCAGAACTGGTCAAAACCTGCTGGAACCCACCTCTGGACAGAGTAGATATCAAGAAAAACACTACTGTAAAAGAAATGGAAGCACTGGAGGTCTATAAAAATGATTCATAAATATTTTTATAGTATTTTTATTAAAGGCTACAATGAAAAGATAAAAAATTAATGCAAACTAAAAAATAAAAGAAAATGTAGAAAAGAGAAGATTGGGTTGTCCAAACTCTTCCTAAAAATCTCCAGTGTTGGAGCACCACAACTTCTGGAAGCAAACAAACCTACTTTTTATTCCTTCCTTTTACTTTTAACTATCTTGATATTTAATTCCTTCAAATAATATCCTAGAACTTGATTTATTTTCATTGTTTCGTGGCTCTTCTCACAAAATTCTTCAAAATGTTAACAAGTAGTTTTTGTTAATTTAATATAGGAAAGTTATCCAGGTCACTTTTTAGGTTTGTTATCTGTATATCCCTTTTAATTATTAAGACATCAACCAGTTTCATTTGTATATCCAGTGTAGCATCTTTTTCCCTATTATTCTTGTAGCCTGTCTCAGTCTTCTTCCTCTTCCATAGCATTATTTAAATTCACTGCATCCATAGAGCCAGACATTTTTAAAATTAATTTCTGGATCCACTGTTCAAAAAATATACTTCAATATGTTGAATGTTAATATATTTTGCTCCATTCTAGTAAGTCAAATTTAAGTGTACTTCTCTTTTAATTGTAATCTTTAGTTCCTTCTGTTTCCCTCTAGTGTCCAATTTTCAAATTTCCATCCTAACAAGATTTAAAAAAAAAAAAGAATTCAAAACAATAACATTTTGCCATGGAAGGAGTTTTACAATTAATTCCACTGAATGACAATTTTCTCCGACTTTTCTTTTCTCTAAATTTGTTCACTCTTCCTTTGTGGTTTTGTTTTGCAATTTGATCTTCCATCTTCCTCCCTGTATGGTCAAACCACATCACTACACTGATTATTTACTTTTATAGCCTATCCATAATCACTCAGTACTCATTCATGCATGACCAGAGGTGCGTTTCAGCAGGTTCTGACCAGTTCTAGAGAACCAATAGAGGAAATTTTGAGTAGTTCGGAGAACTGGTAAATAACACCTCTGACTGGCCCCACCCCCATCTATTCTCTGCCTACCGAGTCCCAGCTGATCGGGAGGAAATGGGGATTTTGCAGTATCCTTCTCCTGGAGTAGGGAAGGAATGGAGATTTTACAGTATCCTTCCCCTGCCATGCCCACCAAGCCATGCCATGCCCACCAAGCCACACCCACAGAACCGGTAGTAAAAAAAATTGAAACCCACCACTGTGCGTGACCCTCTCTTCTTGGTTCACCATACAGTTCTTAAACACAGGTAGTCCTCAACTTACAACAGTTCATTTAGTGGCTGTTTGAAGTTACAACGACATGAAAAAAATTGATTTAAGACTGTTTTTCACACCGACAATCATTGCAGCATGATCCGGAGCATGATTCCTTCATGCGCGCAGCAGTGCCAAAAACCAGCCTGCGCATTCACGCCAGCCAGCTGATTGTTAGGCGCGCATGGATGCTAGAACCTGGAAGTTTGACTTTTTTAGAACACGGCCCCAATGAGCACCGGTGCATGCACGCGCAAAGTTTCCAAGCGACCTTTTCGGCACTCGGTGCCAAAAACGTTCGCCATCACTGTCCTACTCATTACCTTTCTAGACATTTTTCTAAGCAGATATTCACCAGCCACCTTTTTCATGTATTCTTGAGTCTCATAATAGCTCATTCTTCATATTTTTGTCTCACTCCCACCTACCTATTTATGTCACCCTTGCAAATCACTTGTTCTCTCTGGGTTGCATTAATTCAGACTATTGCAGAATATTTACAGAAAAACATATCTGGCTTTTCCTTTATTGTTATTCACTGAAGCGTAACACTCAGCTATAATTAACCTACGGATTTCTACTTTCATACACACCCACAACAACCTGGAGTAAACAAATTCATTTTTTCTGACACACATATTAGCCTTTTCATTCACAAATAAACCTACACCTTCGCTTCAAGATGAGACAACACACATTCAAGGTTTTTTATATGCTTTTTCTCACACACACACACACACACACAACATATTTTTTCATTCATTGGTGAATTCAGATTTATATTTTATATCCCTCTTGCATTCCAGGGATTTATATCCCTCTTGCATTCCAAACTTTTTAATATCATGGTAATAGCTAAATGGGCCTTTTAGATATTGACTCCATTGCTCATCGTATTGGTCAACTGAGGCTTTCAGATAAAACTTTTTAATAAAATGGAGAAGATGCAGCCCAGCTTATGAGCCTTAACTGATAAATTGGTACCTCTACCGCAGACAACATTTCCTACTAATAACGATGACGGCACTAGCTACTTTTGGTCTACTGTAGCCAGTGTACCACAAGTGCAACTAAAAACCAGATTTACCTCAAGGATTCTCACAGTTTTCTGCCCAAACTAGACTCTACAATCCAGAGACTACCTTGCAAGCAAAGTACTGTTCTTGCATCTAACCAGCTAGGATATATATGTAGTATAATGCCACATTTATAACTAGCTGATTATTACTGTAACACTGAACAGGAGTATTTCTATTCAGGAAAGAAGGATATACAGTATTTCAGCCTGAGATCGCATGTCCCACTATTTATTTATTTATTTATTTATTCACTTGGGCCAATGAATGGAGATTCACAGAGAGATAGCAGCAGCAGGAGCCAAAACAATGAGAACAAGGACTCAAATGAAATGCCCCAGAATTTGAGGCCCTGTATTAAATCCAGCTACTCGTTGATTGGTGCACACTGATCCAGGCATTGCCACACAGTCAGCATTTTTTTCTTTCTGGCTGTTTGTTGCTGTGTTGCAGTCAGGGGATATTCTTGCTGCCAAGCTACTGGAAAGAACATTGGCTTGGTGGGCATTGGAAATGGAAGGTGACACCCCCTTTGCCCTCGCTGGCAGAAAGCCGTATGGTACAGTGATTCAGGCAGGGAGTTATAAATGGCTCTAGGAGAACAAACGTGCAGTGGCTGTGAATGAGAAAGCTTATTTGCTGGCTCGCTGGGGGAAATAAACAAAAACCTAGAGGCCACTGGAAGATGAGGAGGGGGAGAGAACCTATCAGTCAGAGATATCTTTATTAATATCAGACAATGTTGGTGGGGATGGGGAGGGAGTCAAAACCAAGCATGAAGTAGGAAAGGAAAGTTTCACAGAAATTTTGCCCTATCCACTGACTCTATACTATCGAAAGTCGCTGATGTTTTTCTCAGATTATGGCTCTGACTAGGATTTTCCCGGTGTGCTTCCCAAATCAGCTGTTTGTGGTATGAGGGAGAAAGAGAGATGTTGGCGGGGTGGGGGGGGACCGCTAGGGGATGGGAAGTGACAGGATAGGACCTCAGCCCAGCACTTCACAGGTTCAGGTGGCGCACTGCCAGTCTTTGCACAGATGGGTGCATCCTCTCCAGCCTCCTAGTCTTTGGGTGGGAAGCGTCTTTCGTTACCCAGCATTCTGGTTTGTTTTGATTTCTGCTAAAAATACAGTCTCTCCTCTCCTTGGGGAGGGGGAGTAGGGAATCTAACTTGCCTGCCTGGAAGGAGAGTCCCATAACAATCTACTGCAGGAAAACCACCTTTTTTGCCCTCCCCAGTCATCCAGCTAACAATCTGCTGGCTGAAAACAAAAGACTCTGAGACAACAATGCGATTTTTAAAAGAAAAAAGCAGAGAAAATATAGTCACTCCTTGGCTTTTCCGAACGCAAGAATGGCTCCCCACATCCCTCCCGGTTACAACAAAGGCGGCACTCACAGAATGGTGCATTTTGGACATCAGAGGTGAAGCTCGGCAGATTCCACAGCAGGGCTAAAAGAGGAGAGCCATCCGTCGGCCTTTCTCAGTACTGGTTGCACAGCATACAGGATCATGTTTTGATTACAAAAGCCCTGCCTGGGCTCCCAGCCAAAAGCACCGGCTGCCACATATACGAAAGCAGAGGCAGGCAATCAAAGCGCTTGTGTCCTCCTCTTCGTTCGCCTTTCAGTGAGAATGTACGTACCCTTTGCTTCTCCTGTGATTACCTTTACAATTCTGGTTGTCAGAGTCCCCACATGGCGCATCCGATTAGCAGGAACTGGAAAGACTGGGAGGGTGAGGTATCCTTGACCATCAAGAGCTAGACTCCACGTTCTCGGCACTTATTTGCATCGTGGGCTAAACATACAAATGATTGTTAGGTGAATGCTCACAACCGTTTGGAAGATTCTGTCAATCTGAGAGCTGGTTTTTTTTTGTTCCCTGATAAAAGTTTATGTCAGCAGAGATGGTGAGGTGCTGGAAGCCTGGAGAAGAAAAACAGAATCCTACATCCAACCTACATTCAAAAAGGGGAAGGAGGAGGATCAGTGAAACGGCAGGCCAGCTAAAAGTCTATATTTGGCAAGGCACAGGAACAGATTGTCAAGGAGCACGTTTGCAAGCCTTTCATAAAGAATGCTATCATTATTAGGTGCCAGCCTGGCTTTCAAGAGCATGTTGTGTCAAACTAACCGGATCCTTTTTTTATGACAGAAGGACTAACTAACTAAGTAGACCAACGAAATGCTGCAGATGATGTGCACGTTGTTCTTAGGGAAGCATCTGACAGGAACACTGGGAAGATTATGGGACAAAATAAATAAACATCCATCCAGATGGTTTTTTGCAACTGGTTGAACAAGCAGCTCCAAAGGGTTCTGCAAATTGGAGAGGTAGAAGTGTCCATCCTGCCTGGATGCAGGTAGTAACAGATGTCTGAGGAGACTATCCAGACGGTCAATGGTGGGTGTGGACTTGGATTGCTGCAGCTTGTATGCACATCAGCTGTTTGGTAGTTAGCATCAAGATGTAGCAACAGAGATGGAGAAGGTGAACTGGAGACAGTGTGGTAGGTAAAAAGTTTTAAGCAGTGAAGCCATCTGGCTAGTGCAACAGTAGAGTTTTTCAGATGACAGGTGTTTGGGATGATTTAATAAAATCCTGCCCGAGGTGTAAAGACACATTCCATTTCATACATTCGGTGAGTGTATGATTACCTCACCTTCCTTACGTTTAAAAATCACAGAATCATACTAGACAGGTCAATTAACATAAAATATCCTGTATTTAAAATAATTTATTATTCTGTGTCCTTGGTCCACTTTGGGATGAAACAATTTGGAACATTAATAGCAAGTTGAAAAGGCACAAGTGTTGGTAAGGTTTTTTCTTTAGCCTGGTTTGCTTTCATAAGATTTCAGCGTCTTTGCAGAGCAGGTTCAGATGTGCCCAGTACACCTTCACTCAATTCAGATGGAATCTACATCGGTATGAAGGTCAGTTACATGCAAGAATCATAGATAATATAGACATTTCCCTAGTTATCCCAACACCCTAAGGGATAATATATGCTTATGACTCAGCCCAATAGGTGAACTTGTTCTACAAATGGGCAGTGCTGAGCTTCAGGATTTAATGACTGTGGTCTATACAACAGATCTCCTGGTGTTTGGGCTGGCAACTGTGGCTGGCATCTTTAGAGGCAAGTCAGTCTGCTATGCAGGTTATAAAGACAGGTGCCCGTCAATCCCTGCTTAGTTGCCTGTGGTCATGAAATCCTGTGCCAGTATATTATTCTAGATATCTTCATTAATCAACTAAAAGCTTCACAATATATATGAATTTTGCCCCTTTCTTTTTTTAAAAAAATATGTTTCTCAAAGAGGCACTTGTTTCTAAACTGAATAGTGTGTTCATGGTATAAATTGTATTCTTCCCTGCTAAGTAATGTTATAAACATCATTCTTTGTATATATTTTTGTTTTCCTTTCTTTTTCTTTATACTTTTTCGTACTTCTATCCCTATTCTCTTTTTACTCTTTATCTTTTGTCTTGATTGTTAGTTTAAGTTGTTTTTATGTGCATGTTTTGCAAACTGCAATATAACTATTTGAATATTACTTTTGTATCTTTATGTCTCATTTCTTTGTTCAGTCTTGTTCTTAGGAGGTTGCCTGGCAGACAAGAGTGCCACAGAGTCCCCCAAGGACACATGGGGGAACAGTAGAAGCCTGCATAACCCAGCTTGCCCAATATGTATTCCAGATGCGGGGGTGGGGGGACCTGGTTGCTAAACACTGCAGCCAAGGACTGTATTGGCTGCAAATTAAAGGAGCAGTAACCCAACATGGCAACATGGCTGGAAATCACTAGATTGGAGGAAGTTGGCTTGTTTGACCCTTCTCAACCCTTCTCACCTCCATCAGATTTTCTACTTAGAGAGAAGATACGAGTCTTTATATTGGTTTCCAAGGGAAATATGCAAACAGAATGGGTTCGTTAGCCCAAAGATGCTTTTTCAAGAGACAACTGGACTTTCTGGTTTTTCTTTGAAGATGTTTCGCTTCTGATCCCAGAAGCTTCTTCAGCTTTTGCCTGCCTGAAGAAGCTTCTTGGATGAGAAGTGAAATGTCTTCAAAGAAAAACCAGAAAATCCAGTTGTCTCTTGAAAAAGCACCTTTGGGACAACCATAACTTGGATGACTGAGAATCTCCATAGACAAAATGAGTTAGGTTTGCCTTTTCCCTGCTTCATTCATCCACTAAAATTTATAACCCAACTCAAATACATCACCAGGAACTTCTGGTATGCTTAACAACTAACTCACTCACTCACTGTAGAAATAGGAAAAAAAAATCCCTTAGATTTTTTTTTTTCCTATTTCTCAGGAGATTTCTTTCCATTTTTATTTTGCTTTCAGGTGACCAGAACTGATCCTATGTACAGTCACACTGACTTTCATTTTATTATAGAATGACATTTTGTCATTTCCCAGTAACTAAAAGGACCAGAGGATGGGAACAGAAACGTTGGATTTCAATCCTGCAGAAGCAACCCAGTGTTCAAATTCAGATCCAAGGTTAGACATCCTTACTACTCTCCTTACTACTACTCTCCTCCCCCCTCCACCTAATGTATTGGCAGAAACAGGTGCAGATAGTCAGTATACTCACTTCAATCCTGCAAGGGACGGAGGAGCAGGCTCATATTACATTTCACCCAGGGCAAGTATTTGGATGGAGGTGTTGACTCTGACTTTCAGGCAAAATTTTAAAATGTTACTTCATGTCCCCAAATGTGTAGTCTCACTTGAGACCTACATGAATACATTATTTATAAAACTCTATCCTTTCCACTGCCTTATTCATTTATTAGTTCAGTTTATTTACGTATTTATTTGTTCACCCAGTAGTTCACCACAGTCATGGTGATGATGGTGGTGATAGCAATAGCAATAGCACTTAGACTTATATACCACTTCACAGTGCTTTACAGCCCTCTCCAAGCAGTTTACAGAGTCAACATATTGCCCCCAACAATCTGGGTCCTCCTTTTACTGACCTCGGAAGGATAGAAGGCTGAGTCAACCTTGACCTGGTGAGACGCGAACTACCAAACTGCTGGCAGCCGGCAGTCAGCAGAATTAGCCTGCAATGCGTCATTCTAACCACTACACCACCACAGCTCCTGGTGATGATGATATATACATCATTTTTAGAAAAATAAAAGGAGAATTTGGAAGCATTGCTACAATCTGGGTTCCTTTGGATACTTATTTGCTTGTTGCACTTACTTGCCCTCACATGCTCCAGACTGACATACAGCCATGCACCACAACTAACATCTACTCTACCAAGGTCTGTCTCGTAGTTCAGTTGCCCCATGGTTCTTGCTGAAAGCATTTTAGACCCTGACAATCTGCATCTTGATACATACATTGGGTGCTGAGATCTAATTAATTAGGTTCTGACTGGTAATAAGGGGAAGAACTACATCGGTTTCTAATGAAGATAAAGAAAAACAAGAAGGCTAGGATGAAAAATAGTTCAAAGAAATATAGAATTAACTTGATGAAACGGTCAGGCAGATGGAAACTAAAAATAATCACATACACACACAAATTCATAAAGGAAAGTGGTCCTATAGAATTCCCCTTACAATTAATATGGGGATTTCAAAGCTTAATTATTAAATTATATCCCAACTGTGCTATATTTTAAGCAGATCAGAATATGTTCGCTAAAGTATGAAAACAAAGTTATTCCACATTTTCAAAAAGGCTGATGTGCTTTTAATCAACCTCTAGTTCCAGTGTTCTTTATAATTGCAATCTTTATAAAAGCATTATGACTTTTAGTACCACTGATGACAATTTTCATTTATTTATTTTTATCCCATTATTATTATTATTATTATTATTATTATTGTTGTTGTTGTTGTTGTTGTTGTTGTTTATAAATAACTCAAGGAGATGACCATACCTAATATTCCTTCCTCCTCTAATTTCACCCACAACTACCTAGTGAAGTGAAGTGGGCTGAGAGAGTGACTGGTCCAAAGTTTCCCAGCCAACTTCTTCGTGCCTAAGACAGGACTAGAACGCACAGTCATCTGGTTTCTAGCCTGGTGCCTTAACCATTAGACCAAACTATGTTCACTAGACTAACTCATGATACCTCTGGGTGGCCCCCTATGTTTTTCTCAAAAAATGTACTCCAATGTTGCCCAACTCTGATGCGGCTTTGGGTGACATTTTATGTTGTTACCATGATGTCAAATCAGAGAGAGAGCACAGTTCTTCTAGTGGCATAAAAAAGGCATTGGCAACCAGGAATGCAATTCCAGTTATGGCTATTCTCCTTTTGTGCTGATGCTTTATTCCTTGTAAGTTGTCAAATGTTTCCAGTTTCTCAATTCTAATTGCAAAAGAAAATGGGAATGATAAGGGGAGGAAAAACCCTTAAATTGATTTTCTTGTAGCTGCTGCTTGTACCTTGCCTGACTCTGCTTCATTTACAGTAGCTAAGCTGTAGTTAGCTTCTTCTGCCAATTCGACTGGTTGTAGTTAATTACGATTCCAGTCCTACATACATTCTCCTGAGCAAGTTATAGTTCTAATTACCCTAGAGCAAAAATACCAACAACCAAGTGTATTCAGAAGAAGATCCAGAAAGTCTAGTCCCAACCTTAAGAGCATGGCTTTAATTACACACATTTCAAATGAAAGGTAAAGTTGAGAAATACATCCACCCATTTAAAAAATGACATCACTTTATCATATAGAATGCAGGTAGACAGGGAACAGCAAATTTTAAAGTCTATAGGTCACACTGTGTTTCAGAAAAACATTGTTATTCTTTTGGGGTTGATTACTGCTTGCTTGTATTAAATGCAGCAAAAGAGCTCTTGTGGCAAATCAGAAACAGAGAATCCATCCCAGGATCTCAGAAACAAGATCAGGGCCAAACTCTAAAACCTCAGAAATAAAATCAGGTTCAATCCCTAGCTTTGCATAATCCCATCAGAACTGAA